ATTAGTAGCCTTCAAAATCCATGGAAAATGGCCTTTCGAAAAAAATCCCCCAAGATATTACGATAATGCCATCCAAAAATAAATTCGCCCAAATCGGTGCTTAATGGGCTTCATCATCCTTGGAGAATTGGATCAATAGACTTCATTATATGTGGTGAATAGCCCCGGGCTGAATCCGTGATCTGTAGCCTCCAAAATAGAGAGAAAATGGCATTTCGGAAAAATCGCCCGAAATATGTGATGGTACCCTTTTGGAATCTGCCAAATCATGACCGGAATAAATCCTCCCAAATCGGTGCTTAATGGACTTAATCGTAGTTGATGAATAGTCTCATGCTAAATCCGGTATTTATAGCCTTCAAAATCCAAATAAAGTGCCCTTTCGTCACCCAAAAAATTATGAAAATGCCATCCGTAATTAATTTGGGGCAAATCGGTGCTTAATGGACTTATCCTCCGTCGAGAAAAGGATCAATAGACTTCATTATTTATGGAGAATAACCTCGTCCTGATTATGTGAACTGTAGCCTCCAGAATCGAAAGAAAATGGCTTTTCAAAAAAATTGCCCGTACCCTTTTGGATTATGCCAAATATTGACCCGAAATAAATCCACCCAAATCGGTGCTTAATTGACTTAATTATCGTTTAAGAATAGCCTCAGGCTGAATCCGTAATTTGTAGCCGTCAAAATCAAAAGAAAATGGCCTTTCGTCGCCTAAAAAATTATGAAATTGTCGTCTGAAAATAAATTGGCCGAAATCATTGCTTAATGGGCTTATCATCCATCGAGAATAGGATCAATAGACTTCATTATCGGTGGAGAATAGCCTCGGCCTGACTTCGTGATCTGTAGCATCCAGAATAGAAAGAATATGACATTTTGGAAAAATCGTTTAAATCTGTGATGGTACCCTTTGAAATCTGCAAAAAATTGACCCACAATACTACCTCCCAAAATCGTTGCTTAATGGACTTAATCTTCGTTGAAAAATAGCCTCAGGCCGAATACGGTATCTGTAGCCTTTAAAATCCAAAGAAAATAGTCTTTCGTCACCCAAAAAATAACGAAAATGACATCCGTAAATAAATTGGCCCAAATCGGTGCTTAATGGACTTATCATCCATCGAGAAAAGGATCAATAGACTTTATTATCGCTGGAGAATAGCCTCGGCCTAATTATGTGATCTGTAGCCACCAGAAACGAAAGAAAATGGCATTTTGGTAAAATCGCCCCGAAATCTATGATGGTACCCCTTTGGAATCTGTCAAAAATTGACCCCGAATAAATCTAATCAAATCGGTGCTTAATTGACTTAATCATCGTTAAAGAATAACCTCAGGGCGAATCCGTGATCTGTAACCTTCAAAATCCAAAGAAAATGGCATTTCATTGACCAAAAAATTACGAAGAAGCCATCCGAAAATAAATTGGCCCAAATCGGTGCTAAATGGACTTATCATCCGTCGAGAATAGGATCAATAGACTTCATTATCCGCGGAGAATAGCCTCGGCCTGATTCCTTGATCTGTAGCCTCCAGAATAGCAAGAAAATAGCATTTCGGGAAAATCGCCCGAAATCTGTGGTGGTACACCTTTGGAAACTGCCAAAAATTGACCCAGAATAAATCCGCCCAAATTAGTGCTTAATGGACTTAATCATCGTTGAAGAATAGCCTCAGGCCGAATACGTGATCTATAGGGTTCAAAATCCAACAGAAATGGCTTTTCGTCGCCCAAAAAATTACGAAAATGTCATCCGAAAATAAATTGGTCCAAATCGGTTCTTAATGTACTTATCATTCGTCGAGAATAGGATCAATAGACTTCATTATCGGTGGAGAATAGCCTTGGCCTGATTTCGTGATATGTAGCATCCGGAATAGAAAGAAAATGACATTTCAGAAAAATCGCCCGAAATATGTGATGGTACCCCTTTGAAATCTGTCAAAAATTGACCCGCAATACATCCTCCCAAATCGTTGCTTAATGGACTTCATCGTCGTTGAAGAATAGCCTCAGAGTGAATCCGTGATCTATAGCCTTCAAAATCCAAAGAAAATGGCCTTTCATTGCCCAAAAAATTACGAAATGCCATCCGAAAATAAATTGGCCCAATTCGGTGCTAAATGGACTTATCATCCGTCGAGAATAGAAGCACTAGACTTCATTATCAGTGGAGAATAGCCTCGACCTGATTCCTTGATCTGTAGCATCCAGAATAGAAAGAAAATGACATTTCAGAAAAATCGCCCGAAATCTGTAATAATACCACTTTGCCTTTGGAATCTGCCAAAAATTGACCCGGACCAAATCCTCACAAATCGATTCTTAATGGACATAATCGTCGTTGAGGAATAGCCTCAGGTCGAATCTGGTATTTGTAGCCTTTAAAATCCAAAGAAAATGGCTTTTCGCCGCCCAAAAAATTACGTAAATGTCATCCGAAAATAAATTTGCCCAAATCGGTGCTTAATGGACTTATCATCCGTCGAGAATAGGATCAATAGACTTCATTATCGGTGGAGAATAGCCTCGGCCTGATTCCCTGATCTGTAGCCTCCAGAATCGAAAGAAAATGGCATTTTGAAAAAATCGCCGGAAATCTGTGATGGTACCCCTTTGGAATCTGCCAAAAATTGACCCGGAATTAATCAACCCAAATGGGTGCTTAATGAACTTAATAGTCGTCGAAGAATAGCTTCAGGGTGAATCCGTGATATGTAGCCTTCAAAATCCAAAGATAATGGCCTTTCGTTGCCTAAAAAATTATGAAAATGTCATTCGAAAATAAATTGGCCCAAATCGGTGCTTAATAGACTTATCATCCATCAAGAATAGGATCAAAAGACTTCATTATCGGTGGAGAATAGCCTCAGCGTTATTCCTTGATCTGTAGCCTCCAGATTTGAAAGAAATGACATTTCAGAAAAATCGTCCGAAATCTATGATGGTACCCCTTTGGAATCGGGCAAAAGTTGACCCGGAATAAATCCGCTAAAATCGGTGCTTAATGGACTTAATCGTCGTTGAAGAATAGCCTTAGGCCGAGTCCGTGATCTGTATCCTTCAAAATCCAAACAAAATAGCCTTTCGTCGCCTAAAAAATTACGAAAATGTCATCCGAAAATAAGTTGGCCCCAATCGGTGCTTAAGGGTTTTATCATCCGTCGAGAATGGGATCAATAGACTTCATTATCGGTGGAGAATAGCCTCGGCCTTATTCCGTGATCTGTAGCCTCCAGATTTGAAAGAAATGGCAACTCAGAAAAATTGTCCGAAATTTGTGATGGACCCCTTTGGAATCTGCCAAAAATTGACTCGGAATTAATCCACCCAAATGGGTGTTTAATTGACTTAATCCTCGTTGAAGAATAACTTTAAGGCGAATCCGTTATCTGTAGCCTTCAAAATACAAAGATAATGGCCTTTCATCGCCCAAAAAATTACGAAAATGCCATCCGAAAATAAATTGGCCCTAATTGGTGCTAAATGGACTTACCATCCGTCGAGAATAGGATCAATATACGTCATTATCGGTGGAGAATAGCCTCGGCCTGATTCAGTGATGTATAGCCTCTAGAATGAAAAGAAAATGGCATTTCAAAAAAATCGCCCTAAATTTGTGATAGTATTCCTTAGGAATCTGCCAAAAATTGACTCGGAATAAATCCCCCCAAATCGGTGCTTAATGGACTTAATCGTCGTTGAAAAATAGCCTCAGGCCAAATCCGTGATCTGTAGCCTTCAAAATCCAAAGATAATGGCCTTTCGTCGCCCAAAAAATTACGAAAATGTCATCCAAAAATAATTGGCCCAAATCAGTGCTTAATGGACTTATCATCCGCCGAGAATAGGATCAATGGACTTCATTATCGGTGGAGAATAGCCTCGACCTGATTTCGTTATCTGTAGCCTCCAGATTCGAAAGAAAATGGCATTTCCGAAAAATCGCCAGAAATCTACGATGGAAGGATCGAGGACGAGTTTCGGGAGGATTGGAGGTACCGTGACAATTGCCCCGTAACAGTGAAGCGCTGGCGTCCAGAAAGCAGTTGCAGTTCACGGTCCAGCATTGGAGTTCATGGTCTCCTAATGTTGTGAACCGGAAGCACAAACCGTGAACAGTGAGGTATCCAGGAGGGTTACAGAGGTTACTAATGGCAAGGCAGTTCACTGTCTCTAAGACAGTGAACTTGGAGCACAAACCGTGAACCCCGAAGAGTGAAGCGGTGCGTTTTGGAGACGACGCCGAGTTCACGGACGCGTCGAGGAGTTCACGGCCGTGAACTGAGCCTGATCTCAGTATAAAAAGGGCTTTGAGCTGAAGGAGAAAGGAAGAGCTTCATTTTTAGGTTAGGTTTTCATTTTTCAACATTCCAAAACTTTAGTATATTAATTAAGAAAAGAGTTACAAAATTATTAACATAAAAATGGCTAATATTTTGATTGATTATCAAAGATTTAACTAATTAATATAATTTTAATAAATTTAGATAATAAAAAAAATTGAAATTTTTTTAAATAAAAAATAGACATTATAATGTTTTTATGCTAGACAAATTGGGGCGTGACCGAAAAAATCAAGCAAACGCTTTCGTGAGCCTGGCTCCTAGATAAAATAACCTAAAAGCCTAAATCCCGTTGCCTTCTTGAACACGCGGGAAAATGGGGGAAAAAGGTTTCCGGCGCGCTTATAATGGACTCCTTGTCGTCGGCGCTACTTCCCGGTGGCTGCTTGTTCGTCTGTTTTCCTCGCCGACGGCGGAAACTTCCCAAAAAACCCACAAACACTCACGCAAGATTCCAGTTCCCGCTTATATTCAATTCTCAACAACCGTCCAAAATCATCAAAATCCGCGTATGAAACCACTACTTCCCTTTATCTTTTTCCCAGAAACGGAAGCAGAGCTCTGCAAATTGGCTTTTCTATTTTCAAAAGTAAACATCTACTAAGAATAGTGATCCACCTTTCATCTCCATTATATCAACTCAAATTACGAATGCCCATCTTCACCTCTCTTGATTTCAGTGTAGAAAGAAACGACGCCCCGATTAAGCTCTCTGTTCATCAACTCTCATGGCTGCTGCTGTTGGATCGAAAAAGGTAACTTGGGTACATAATTAATCTGTAATTTGCAATTCAAGTATATTTCTCTCTGATGCTCTCTTTTCTGATTCCCTTGCGTGAAAATTTCGGGGCTTTTAGGTTACCTATGCGCTGATTTGGGCTTCTATATGGATACTCTGTTCTTCTTCTTCATCTTCTTCTCAAGCTGCTGCTGCTGTTGTAACCCACGACGACGACAACCCTTATGCGACACTAAGTAGTATTAATGATACGTCATCGATTGAGGCGGTGGAGAGGCCGCTGCCGCCGCCGATGAATGGATCGGAGACACCAGTACCACTAGATGAAGATGAAGATGATGTTGATGACGAGAATCACTGGTGGGTGGACCTGTTTTTCAGTGCGGGCGAAGTATTTTTCTTTGTTGCGTGGGGATCTGTTGTCGTTTGCACAATAGTTTGCATCCTGAAAATAGTCCATAAGGAATGTGGAAAGGGCGTTCCAGTGACTGTGTAGTCCACAGGGACCCGACCCTGAGAAACATCGTTGATTAAAAGCTGCGTCGTCTCTGTTTTGATTAACGAATAAATAATGTATCGTTTCAAACTCTTGTTATTGTTAATTGAGATGTGAAAGTGAGCTTCATAACAACATGGCTTTTTGACAACATTAACAATAGTGATTCTCTGTATTGAGTGCTTCTACAGTAGTAGTAGTGATTCTCTGCAACAGTGAGATAATGACATTCCCGGCGTTTGAAACTTTCGAAGAAAACCAAGGGTGTCCCCAGAAGAACAAAGAGAGGAACAAGAAGAAGAGGATGAGGAAGAAGAAGAAGAAGAAGAAGAGGATATTCTTCAGTAATTTAGACCGACTACTAGTAACATCTTCTTCTTCTTCCTCAGCCTCCGCCTCCGCCTCACATTTCTTGCCAACCTCCCCTGCTTCCGCTTGTTCTGTTTTTGTCGGCGGCGGCGGCTCGGCTTCCTTCTTATTCTTGAAAAACTCGACGAGCCCGTCGATAGAAACTTGAGGGTCGTCGGATTTCATTAGCTGTTGAGCGACTTCCGCCGGCGTTACGGGAATCCCTCTCTGCATCCAATCCTCAACGCACTTGAACGAGGGATGCTCTTTAACCCCAAGATAGTTATCGGCCAGCAATCTGAACCCTTCAAACGAGCAGTAACCCATGTGGATGTGAACATCCATCCTCCCCGGCCGCAGCAGCGCCGGATCCAGCTTCTCCTTGTGGTTCGTCGTCAAGATTATGATCCTCTCGTCCCCGCAGGTCGACCACAATCCGTCAATGAAATTTAGCAGCCCCGATAACGTCACCTGTAATTAACCAATTATAAAAAGAAAGAAACAGAGCCGCGTCAGGGGAAGGGAAAGAAAAACCGAGTGTAAGAAATAAACAGGGGAGGAACAGAGTACGCAAATTGAAATGGGGAAAAACAGAGTGTTAGAAAGAAACAGGGGAGGAACAGAGTACGCAAAAATTGAAAGAATTAATGGGCTTCCATTTCTTACATACCCCATCAATGGAGCTCTTTTCGTCCTTCTTATGTTTAATCTTGATCTTCTGATCATCAATTTCCTCCTTGGAAAGCCTAATTTCGGTGCTCTTGCTGCTGCAATCCACGTCCTCGAGCAGCAGAATCGACCGATTCGTGGTCGCGGTCAGCACGTCTCGAAGATCGGAATCCGATTTCACGCTCTGCAGCTGAAGATCGTACACATTGTACTTGAGGTGATTCGCAATGGCGGCGACCAGGCTCGATTTCCCGGTCCCCGGCGGGCCGTAGAGAAGGTACCCGCGCTTCCAAGCCCGGCCGACGCTCCTGAAGTAGTCCCTCCTCTGTACGAAGAGATTCAGGTCATCGATGAGATCCTGCTTCAGGGCAGGGTCCATAGCCAGAGTATCGAAGGTCGACGGGTGCTTGAAAACGGTGGCGTCCCACCCGCCGTCGCCCTTGCTGTAGGTGAAGATGCTGAGGCCGTCGCGCTCCTTCACGATCTCGTCGGCGACGCGGGAGACGTGTGGGAGGTACGTCTCCGTCACGAACTCGACGTCCTCCTTCTTGCATTTAAGCTGGTACCACCGGTTCTTGCGGCTGTTGAAGTACCCGCCGCCGCCGGAGTTCTCGGCCGCCGCCTCGTGGAGGGTCCACTCGAAGCGCCGCCCTTGGAACTCGTCCACGATCGTCGACCCCACGGCGATGGCGGGCTCGACTGGCGCCAGGATGTTGTTGCTGTCGTTGTGGCCGACCATGAGGCTGCTCGTCGACGGGCCGATTTTGGTGGGGAGGTAGACGCCGACGGCGTGGAAGGTCGAGTTCTTGAAGCGCTGCCACCTGTCCTCCACGATGAACGTGAACTCGTCGGAGGGGGATATGTACCGGTGGACTCTGTCGGCGATGGAGCTGCGGATTTCTTGTGGGACGGTCTTGTTGTAGAACTCGCAGGTGGCCACGACGGCGGTGGAGACGGCGACGATGGTGGCTAAGTGGCGTCTGAATCTTTCGCCCATTGTTTCTCTTTTGCACTGTTTGTATTTGATTGTAACAAAGGCCGAGCCTGAGATGGAGACGGTGGCTGGCTTTGGTATATATAAAGCCAGCCATTTCTGGCTAAGTGGCGTCTGAATCTTTCGCCCATTTCCTTTTCCTTAACGGATTAGGATTGGGATTGTTTTCTCCTTCTCCGTTTAGGATTAGTAGTTACTAGTTACTAGTTGGACTTTGGCTATTCCTTTTCGGTTTAGGAGCCAATTGAGCAAAGTTTCCAATTTTTCAATGTTCTTTTATCAAACATTTTTGCACAAAAATATACTACATTTTTCTTGAATACATTAGCTTTCTAAATTTAAACTCCAACGCCCCAAAATTTTGTTACTTTTATTCATCCATGTCCGCAATATTTTCCCCTCCAATTCTTTATTCTTTCTTTTTCTTGATAAAAAAATTTTTTAGAGGAAAAATTTGGCTAGAAGATTCAAAAACTAAGCTATCATTAGCTTGTGGAATTTGGGTCCCAAATTTTTGTTACAAATTTATTTTTGTAAGGGTATACAATTATAATACAAATTCATGGGTCCGAATATTAAATTTTTTACATCCATATCCGTGGACCCCACAAATTTGCAAATCACATATTTCATTTGAAGTTTGATTATGAAAAAAAACTTATCAAAGATTGGGTCTAGCCTCTGAGAAAGAAGGTGCAATCTACCATATTGTCATTTCTAGTTGAGGGAGGGTCTATGAAGCTAGAGCTATGAACTTTATGTTGCGAATGAGCCGGTTTTGCAATCTAATTGGTGTACTCCTTAATATATGTTAAAAAATTCACACCATGACATTTTTTTATGGAACACACCATGGCATTCAAGAGTGAGATTACTATCACACATAATTATAATTAACCGATTCATTCCAATAACACTACACAAACTCAAAGAAAGTAATTTTCCCCCTATAGTGATTTGGTAATGAGTAATGACAATTGACAAGCATAAGAAAGGAAGGAGAAAAATGATTGGTGTGTTGGTTAATTTAATAAAAAAAAAAGTTAAAGGGTGTGTTTGATAGATAAGGCCAAGTAGAGGGGTGTGTTTAGTAAATAACCATTTTAACTATGTGAATTCTGCACCACTATTTATTTAATTATTGTTAGAAAGTCTCCCGGCCAAGCAACAGTATCTTTCGCCGAGGGTTTCGCCCAGGAGGCGGAATTGCGACGGCGGAGGCGACTCGCCGGAGACTACAGCGGTAAGAATTACTCGCCTAATTTGTTGATTGTGTTCCCTGCTACCATTTTCCGTTTTCTGATTGCTTCCAGTTTCTCGTATTAGGTAGGATTGAGTGTAGTTGCTCTCTGTAGCTGCCTCCAGTAGAAACCGCCATGAACGCCGACAGCAGCAGCTGCGAGTTGGGGAAACCTGCAAAAGGTCGCATTGCAGAAGAAGAAGAAGAAGGAAATGACAGGTTAATCTCTCTTCCGGACGTCGTTCTTCATCGCATTCTCTCCTTGCTCGACACCAAATCCGTCGTTCAAACCTCCGTCCTGTCCCGATTGTGGAGGAACACCTGGAAAGACGTTTCGGTGCTCAAATTTCACAGCGATTCCTTCAAGCAGTACTCGAGCTTCCAGACCTACGTGGACAAGGTGCTGACCCTCCGCCATCCCGTTGGTCTCAGCGAGGTAGAGTACCTCGACCATGATGATTCGGAGGATCGAGATGGGGATCTGTTCGTCAAGGTCATCGATTATGCACGAACCCATGATGCTCAAGAGCTGGAGATTGACCTGTTCAATCATGGCAGAATGCAACCATCTTGCGTGTTTTCGCTCTTGTTTAACACGGTGGTCTCGGATTGCAAACTCAAGGGTCTAACACTCAAATGTCTCATCATCAACACTGAGCTCGCGCCTGCTGGGTTCCGGATGCTGAAAAAGTTAAATTTGACCACCTGCTTGATGGCTACGGGCAGGAGTGGGGACTTCGATATCTTCTCTGGCCTTCCATGCCTCAAGTATCTGTATCTGATTCAGTGTGTGTTCATCAGTTTTCCCAAGGATGATGACTCCAGCAGTTTCACGATCTCTGGGCCCCAGTTGGATACCCTGAACATGGAGGTTTCTGTGTCTGCCAAGATCAACATACGTGCACCAAAGCTCAAGTTCTTCAACCTCCGGCAGGACTTAGGATCCTTGAACTTGTTCAGCTTAAGCATACCTTCCCTTGAGATTGCTGATCTGGAGATCTATGATAAGACGAATTCGATGGAGGCTGACAAGGAGAGCATGACGCAGAGTCTGATGTTCTTGTTCCAAGGTCTGCGTGCTGCACGAGCTATCGCGCTGGATTCCATAACCATCCAGGTAATGAACTCTGTCTATATGGTTGGTACTGTTATATGATGCAGGAACTGTTTTTATGTTGAGAAATATCGAGTGATCTGGTAAATTCACTGTCTTAAGATGGGTTTCCATGTTCTGGTATGTAGATATTGAGTAAAGTTGATTCGGCATTCCTGGAGCAGCAGCCCTCCCCCTTCACCAAATTGAATACCTTGATTGTGGTGCCTGACACTGTGCCGTACCTACTGGTCGATTACTTTCTTAAAGGGTCTACTGATGTGAACCCAATTGTTATGCATATCTTGCCGTATACGCCATAGTTCAGGGTGTTTTTCTTTCTTCCCAGGTCATTTTAGAAACAGGTATTTTGACTGCGATATGGTCTTGCATCCATTGCCAGTACCTTAAAGAAGTGTGTGGTCGTTTATGTTATGTACATTGTTCCACTCCAGAAACCTTGAGAGTTCCATTCATGCACTAGTACTTGCAACTTTGTGGTTGGTTAGTTATGTTATGTTGTTCCTGAAGAGCCTGCAATTCTGCAATTTTGTGGACTTAAGCGCCTGCCCAGATGGATCATCTTCCTTGTTTTTTACCCATTGGATTAGCCTTAGAATATTCTCCACTGTTTCTTGATTAGCATCTCGACAAGACCTGACCTATTAGTAATCTTATTCTTTCATCAAATCAGGAGATAGCTGACAAACATTAAAATGTTTGGAATAAACCAATATAGTTGACAAACAGTACACATGAAGAGTTCATGGGCTAAAATGTTAAAACAGACAAATCTGGTGACTCGTTTGGAAATTGCACATTTCCTATTTGTATTCATTTCCATCCAAGCAAATACACGAACCAAGATTTCTTCTGCCAAGGAAACAAGAAAAGCTTGGCAACCAAGTTATGTCAAAAGAAGGGAGGAAGAAAGAGAGAGAGAGTGGTGGCATTGGCAAGGATCCTTTGCTTCATCCAAAAGTCGAAGAACATGTTACTGTATGCCAAACATGGGTGTTTTCCCTTTCAACTCAGCTTTGTTTGCAGACATTGTACTCCTGTTCATTGCCTGGCCGGCCATATTCAGATTCATTCCCTTCCGCACAAGCACTACTTGTGAAGGCTGGCTCTTTCCCGCGGATCTGCGCATCTATCTCATCTCAATCGCACGAATCAAAGAACAAGCTGAGACCCTGCTAGATTGATGGAGAGTTTAGCCAAGCAGGGGAGGTAAGAAAGATGGAGAAAATGCATGCAGTATGAAAGGCTTCTTCTCTGTCAGTTTTTCCCCTGCAATTTTTCATATTTGGCTTGTTTCATCTTGCAAGGAGAGTTACATTCTCTGGGCTACCAGAACACCAGCAAGAGTACACTTCCACATCACCCTGGACACCACAATCCTTTGATGGAGGTATGTGTTTTGCTGGACCAATCATCATGGATACATACGACAATCCTTGTGCTTTTTCAGATTGCAATCATTAAGAGTCTGTTAATCTATGTGTAGATTTGCAGCAATATGTTGGTTCTGTAGATTCAGTGTTGTGTTCCTTTTTGTCTTTGCTGTAGGTAATAATGTGCACAGAAGTTGGTTCCAAAGGCAGGATGGTTATGATGAATATGACCTAAAGGAAATGGAGTATTCAGCTGCTGTTGCTGCCGCAGCATTCGCGATTTCTTCCTCGCTCGAAGAAGAAGAAGCTGGAGCAGCAGATTACAGAAGGAAGATGGAAGAAGATGAAAGGCGGAGGTCAATGGGAAGACCCAAATCAATAATAAAAGAAGAAACCCCCATTTCAAGACTTGCCTCCTTCAGAAACTTGTCCATCAAGGAAGACAGAGATCCAGGTCAGTATATACTATATTCCCAAAAGAGAAAAACGGGGGGAAAATCTTACCTTTCAGATGATGTAGAGTAATTCTGACAAAACGGATCATGCATCAGGTGAATCTTCTGACAGGAGGGCACGGCAGCAGCAGCAGGAGAGAGGGTTCCCTGCCAGAAGGCCAAGCCTCTCTTCAGGAGGAGAAGATTCTTGGGAGAAGGCTCAGCTGAGGAAGATCAGCAAAAGGTGATCCTAACAAGTTCCACTGTTGTTCTAATCCTAATGATAGGGTTGATTCCCAATGACAGCATCTTATCATTTCTTTCAGGTACGAGAAGATGGAGGCAAAGATTGTTGGTTGGCAGGAGGCAAAGAAGATGCAGACCAAACTCAAAATGGAAAGAAAAAGGGTCTGTTTTGGTTTCCTGATATCTTCATTACATTTACACTTCTGAAACATTCACTACCTTGCATAATGTAAATGGATTAAGATGCTGATCTAGTCCAAACAATGGCCGAAACGAATGCAGAATGAGTTGGAAATGAGGAGGACAAGGAACATGCAGCATTACCAGGGCAAGATGGAGAGGATTGACATGATTGCCAGTGGAGCGAAAGGGCAGCTGGAAGAGAAACGGAGGAAAGAAGAAGCTGAGGTGAAACACAAAGCCAGGCTCAACCTTCACTCCAAGGGCCGTACGAAGAATTCTTGCTTCGGGTGGAACTAAAACACTCTCAGAATTTATCAAGTTACGCATATTGTTATGAGAAATTGGATAATTGACATTTGGAGAACCTGTAAACTTTGAATTGGAAACCTGTGTGTGCCGATTGTTTGCTGTAAAACAAGAATTTGTACAGATAACCACCTGAATGGACTAGTGATATTAACGAATTGCTGACAGAGTTTGGAGAGGGATTGATTCTGCGTTTCTATCATCAGTTGCTGCAGAAATCGCAAATCCTGTAAGCAAATGGTAAGAAAAGTAATAGTGAAAAAAAAAAATCTATGGGGTGAGAGAGGCTCGAACTCTCGACCTCAGGATCACTCTTTGGCTATGAGACCTACGCGCTAACCAACTGCGCCACCACCCCTTGGTGAATTAATTTTCGCCAATGTCAATTTGTATTAAAAGGATCAATTACCAATTAGTTTAAACTTGTTATACGTATTGCACGAAATTTCAGTGTTGCAGTGTGGTAAATGGTAATTGCCCAAAAAAATAATATGTCGTTGGTTAGTTGGTGGATCTGGATCGTCGCATTCTTCTAATTCAATTACGTAATATGCGTCGAAACCAATATAACTTTTATATCACTAACCGTCGAAACACTAAATCTTTAACTTCACATTTTATATCGATATTGTCAATTCAAAATCTTGTTACAACCTCATCAGTCCACAACGATACATCCCGTTAAACACGAAAACTATATATCAACGACGATAATTCAAAGTATCAAACTCGTCCTCACTAATCATCGTTAGCATTTTGGTTTCCTCTGCCTGTTTTCGTCATTACACATCTGAGATTGATATTTCATCCCTGTCCTCTGTCCTTTTTCGTCATTACACATCTGAGATTGATATTTCATCCCTGTCCTCTAGGGCTGGGCATGTGGGCGGATCATCCGCGGGTTTGGGCCGACCCACCCGCATTTGACCCGAATTTCGTTAAGTGGGTGGGTCTGTGGGTGGGTGACGGGTTGCGCTGGGAGCCATCCACCGGGTGGTGGGTGGGTTGTGGGTGAGTGTGCGGGTGACCCGCTCAACCCAACAACAAAAAGATCAAAGTCGTTGGCGCTAGAGAGAGGAGAGTGGAGACGTTAGATATAAACTCGGGCTGCTCCTGGAGTTTGAACCTCAAAGCCAACCTTCCAAATAGAGATCCCCTCTTCTCCCCTTTACTTTTTCCTCTAATTCTTGTGCCTAGATCATCGCTCTTTCCGTTGTGGAATTATTTTCCTTAGTTCCTTGCACCTAATAATCGTCTCAATCTATAGAAAACTCTTTCATAATAGAATTTCTATCCAATTTAAGAACTAATTCGACATTTTTCGCCCTATTTCCACTTCTTGTTTCCCTCGATGATTCTCTTCACCTATTATCATGTCAAGTTGACTCTTTTATATTATATATATTGTGATGTGGGTGAACCCACAAACCCACCCGCATCATCCACCATCCGCCCGACCCAACCCGAGACTAAATGTGGGTGGGTGGTGGGTTAAAAATTATCAATCCGTTTAAGCGCGGGTGGGTGCATTTTATGGTCAAAATCCACCCGACCCACCCAATGCCCACCCCTACTGTCCTCTGTCCTTTTACATCAGCTCAAAACTCCATTTCCAACCGTTGGAATTTACTGTAAAGAAGAAAAAAATTTACCGTTATTTTTGTTTTTATTGTTTTCACTCCTTCCTTCCTTCCTTCTTCCTCGAGATCCCAAATGATTTCTCACACTCTTCTGCAATTTCGAGCAACAAGCCAAAGACCCTCACTTTCTCTCTCTCTCTCTCACACTCTGTTTCTCTGCTCAGATTGCAGCAGAGCTCTTCATCAATGGCGGAGTACGAAATCCACGACACCAATCACCACCACCACCACCACGGCGGGATCCCAAAGGAAACGGCGTTCCAGGCGCTGAACACGATAATCCAGCTCCACTTCGAGAAGACCCTGGAGAAGAAGCGGGCAATCGACCTCCAGAAGAAGGAGCTCCACAAGTCCTTCCTCCTCTTCTTCATCTTCCTCTCCCTCGTCTTCTTCTCCCTCTCGACCTCCGGCCGCCTCCAGTGCCGCCACTGCTGGGCGCCGATCACGCTGCTCTCCCTGGCCCACCTCATCTTCTACGTCGCCGTCGCCCAGACCCTGCGGTGCATCAATGGGTTCAAGTACCAGCGCCGCTGCCACAAGCTCACCCTCGCCCTCGCCACCGAGAAGCTCCGCGAGCTCAAGATCCGCAGCGGCGGCGGCGGCGGTGTAGGAGGAGATTATGGGGGCGGGGAGATGTTGGTCGGCGACGAGGCCGAGCTGGAGATTCACTACCAGGAGCCGCCGGAGAGCTACTTCGGCAAGTTCAAGAGGAATTGGGCGCTGCATTTTGGGTTCTTGATTTTCATCTTTGGGTTTATGATTTCTTCTGCTGTTGTAATTCTCTGCTTTTGAGAAATTTTGTGTACCTACCTCCGCCGCCGGCGATTAGAATTTAGATGTCTGGAAACATTGATGAGATTGGGAATGAATTAATTGTGTAATGATTTTGTAGTCTTTTGGCGGAAAAATGATATTTTCCTTCCAGGAATTTTAGAGATATGCCATCGATATTAGAGACGAAACCGATCAATAACACGCTAAAGACAGGTTGAGAAGGAAGGGAAGGAGAAACTCCATCCAACTCCAAAAAAGAACATGACTTGAGAAAAAGTTTTTCACCCCTTTTTACAGAGACAGAGAGAGTGCTCATTTTTACCTTTTTGCAGAATCAAGACTCAAGAGTTTGACCATGAAAGTAACAGCAAAAGAGCAATAAGTTAAGCTCTTATTCGTTAAAATCACCATGTGGTTGGTAAATGGTAACATCATCGACCTTCTGTCGAAGTAAATGCTACTACACAGCACCAGTACCAGTTTTGAATACCAGTACTAAATAGATGTAACAATTTGTGTACAATGTTCAACTCTGATCAAAGAATGTCGCATATTTGGTGGAGTACAAGTAGATGGCCATTTCGAGCAATCACAAAGCTCGATGGTATTAGTAAATGAATGTCAGCTATCTGAGTAAACCTTGGAGGGAGCAAGCCTTATCATAACCCAGGGTGGCCAAGGCCAATGGCAGAGACCCCAAGATTCTCAGGACAGAGCTGAACACAAGGATTTATATGCACTAACACATAGCTTGAACTTCTCAGCAGCCATGGCCTGGGACGAGCCTTGATGCCTGTCTGGATGCCATTTCAAGGCCGACTCACGAAACCTGCAAAACAAAGCATCAGAGAAGAAAACAATTTGGAGATCTGATCCAATGTGTCTCAAAGATGTGATTGTAAGGCCAAGGGCTTACGCGTTCTTCACTTCTTCGATCTCCAGAGGGCCGGACAAGGGCAAACCGAGGGTTCTTCTGTCGGCAAATGAACCCACGGCGATGGGTGACTCACCATCAGACTCGGGTTCACTGGCATTGCCACATTCTTGGCTTCTCCTCCATGTCCAGTGTGTAGACTCTGTGTTTGATCGTTGGGAAGCAAACCCTTGGTTGAAGGACCAAGTGTACCATTTGTTCCCGAATTTCGCTTGGAACATGGACTCAGGATCATCCGAGTCGTCGGGGAAGGTGTCTTTACGAAACTTGCCTGAAAGTTGAATAGCATATCAAACGCATGACCAAGAAAGATACTTTGAACAACTTTTGAAACTCTTCTACCATGAATGAACTAACCAACCAACCGAGTCCAATCAGAGAGCTACATGGATAAAGAATTGGGTCACTAAATGCTTACGCTTCATCCTGGCACTATGACCCCTCCTGCTTTTATGCTGACTTGAGGAGTTTGGATGTCTTTTCTTGTCAGCAGTATTCCTGTCTTCTGCACCAAAGTTCCATAATCGTTCTTCCTATGAACAAAGCCACAGCAATCATAATTGAAATCCAACGTAGCAAAGCACTAGTTCATGATTCAGGGCTGTTCCTCCTCTCAAACCAAGTTGATAAAGCACATGAAAGAACATGCTTTTGTTAAGATCAGAATGACCAAGTAGGCTTGCTCCAATTTGACTGCCACTGGAAGGGTCACTCAAACCAACTATTTTCAGAAGAAGAGTGTACTAAAACAGTACTCACATCAGGTTTGCTAGCATGAATGCATCTAAAGTCTGGACAAAGAGGATCTAAATTCTCCAACGAACTCTAGTAACTTGTCATCTACCGCGGAATTGGTGAACATTGAGGGGCAAATTCAACGTAGGAATTGTTACCTGGCGTGGTGGTGAGGCTCCATTACTGAAGAGGAGATGTTTCAAAGCCTTCTTTGTATCAGCACGTTTTTGTCGCACCGCGAATCTCACATGATCCTAGATAAATCATTCTCGTATTGTCAGATAACCTTCTCATAGCAATCAAAGAAAAAAAGCCCCTTTCAGAATGGTCCATCAGATCACTGAGCATAATAACTAAAGGACGAGTTTTTGCAAACGAGAATTATCAAGTCGATTCTCATTTCCACCCCACAAGACATAACTATCCAACTATCCATATCTCCAGTCTCTTAACAATGGAGATGAACAATAATCAGGAAAGCAAAAACACAGAAGCTGCCTGCTACAACTATCTCACGGAAATGGATCAAAGGATTTCACAAAAACCAATTCCAACAAGTAACCAATTAATACAAGTTAAAACTCAGGAAACTGGAATTGCCAAAGAAGAACTCACAGTTTTGCCCTTGTTCTTCGACCGGTCGCAGGAAGTGGCCGTCGAATGAATCGATGCGACGGAGGGGGTGTTTAGGTTCGATTGTGAAAAAGCTGGAATCAAGTTGTTCTTCAGGATGAACAGGTTTCGCCATCTGGGTACTTGCATAATCGAGGAAAGAACCCAGCTTTCTAAAAAAATAATTTAGGGTTCCAGCAGTTCCGCTGCAAGCAAGAATCTCCGCAACCGGCGGTTTGGCGGGGGGATGGCGGATGGGGCTTTGGCGCGCGGCCGGCGACGGACATACAAAAAAAGGGGGGCGGGTTTTGTTTGGGCCGGAATGACGGTCGTTTTTAGCCTATGGGCTTTCTCAAAGAGGTCAAATTATTAATTTAGTACTCCAACTTTATGCCTTAGACAAGGTGGCCCTCCAACTTTGGTGGTCTGCTTCGTTCTTGTCATTACATACTTACCTTTATAGGTCTGGAACTGCACCAAATTAGTATACAATCAGATAAAAATGGAGAAAAAGGATAGGAGGATCGTAATTATATTAAAAAATATGTATTTGGTGTGTGAACTGGATCGTTGCCTATTCCTGAAGTAACAATCTCCTTTTCTGATAGACTTAGAAGCTGACACTTGTACAAAGCCTATAGAAGAGCATATACATTGTGATGAAGACATTGCTTCCATGCTCAAATCCTGGTTACCCTAGAGAACCTTGAAGAACAAACTAGCCCACCAATGGAGGCTGGATTCAAATCAGAGAGTGAAACTAAGACCATCTGATCTCGCTTTAACTCCAATTCCGTACTTTTGCTTTACAACTTAGAGAGTGTGTCAAACCATCATTTATCCTCAGCAATGTCTGAACTAGCTGGAACCAGATCCTGCACGAGCTTCACGTTCTTGACGCCGTTGTTCTCTCTGATGAAAACAGCTTTAGACTATGAACAACTGGTCGTTTTTTAGCATTAACCAAGAGAGAAAGAACTTTCTATCAGCAAAAGGAGAGGCAGGGAATTCAAGTTTACCCTTCTTTCCCAATAAGGGTGGAAGCACACGAAATCATAGACAGGGGTAATGGTTGAAACCAAGACCACATTGAGTCCTGTGAACACCAGCAATGCTGCCATGGGTCGCGTCCGATGTGGCATGTTTATTCACTTGCTTCTGCTAGACTCTCTGTGTCTGCAATATGTTCCGAAAAGCGAATTTGAGTCTCAAAAGTCTCAGAAACACAGAATTTGAAACAAGGCATGACAGAAACTTCTATGTACATAAAAAGCCACAATAACCTGAAGCAGGCCATCATACCAAATCTACGCACAAGCTTTGGAGCCAAATTCAAAGCACTCTCAACTGAATTCTCAGGTTCCATTCTCATTGCAATTCTAAAATCTAAACATATACTCATGGACCCCTAATTAACCTCCCAACTCATTCAGGCATCTGATGAACCTTCAATTTCAGCTCAAGAAGTCAGAAACCTAAGTTTTGATGATCATGTTCTCAATCATTACATCCCCGAGCTTCGATAAGATAAATCTACTCATTCCTAGCATTCCACTTCCGAACAAATATCACATACAATCCAAGCTTGGGGGCTAAACCAACAGGAGTCAAACAAAATTCAGAAATTTCATTATCATTCCCTAAGAGTGAAATCTTATCGAACAATCAAATCAAAGCTATGGCCTTTTCACTCATGCAAGCAGAACACACCACAACCATGTCTCTAATAATGAGCAAACTACAAACCCACTTCCTAAAGTTCAAAAATTTCCTCATAAAGAGCAGAACCCATGTAACCTAATCACAAATTCCTCTTCTCTTCCAGTGCAAACATTTTTGCTCAGTAGTTCATTCAATAAAATCCTCTTTCCGAAAAGGAAAAGCTTTCAGATTCAAATTAAATAGAGAAGGAATCGAATGCTTTCAGTACCTATTTCAACCCCGAAAAGCAACGACTTCGTCGAGCAGCCTCCCCTCTTCAGTAACGACCGCCGGCGGCAATTAGACGAGGGAACTGAGAGATCAAAGAAGAAGCAAAGACGGATGAAGGAAAGCAGTTCTCCCAGTATGGGCTCGGTAGTTATTGAAATAATGGATTGGGCTTCATGGCCCATATGATTTATTGGGCTTCCTGGAGATCTTTAAGCCCACGTTCAATCTCCGTGGCACTACGAAAGAAACGCCGATTAGCTCCATTTTACCAGCGCGAACTCCAAAACCCGCTTTAAACCCCCAAAAATAATTCCGCCGCCGTCTCCGTTATCTTCCTCCTCCTCCTCCTTCCGCCGGCGACTGCGGAGAAGCTCGCCAACGCACGCCTCGGCCTCAGATTTGACCCGTAAGTTTCGGACTCTTTCTTCTTTCGGTATCTTTCTCCCTAGGGATATTTCTAGCACGAAGAAATGAAACGGGGGAACTCGAGATATAGCGTTTGAACTCAAGCACTGTAAATTTCCTGTGCAAGCTCGACAATGGAGTTTATCTGTTCTGTGAGCTTATAACTTGTAGGTGCTCTCTAGGTTCTAAGTGTTTGAATGAAACGATTTTCTATTTTCAGAAGGGTGTGAAGGAGATTCAACTTTGGGTTTGGAATGAACTGCTTGTCTAGGTTATCTGCATACTCCGCAACCATCTTTGGAAGGTCGACCAGCCATTTCATTGTCAAGGGCACCTGGAATCAGTGTTCAAGCCCCATTTGGAAACACAGCTTTGAGCTTAGTTCCGTTAGAACTGGGAACCCGAAATTCGTCTTTCCCAAGTTCGCCACCCGGTGCTACTCATCCGAAAAGCCCAAATCGAAAACTCCGCGGAAAAGGAAGTCGTTAGAGCATAAAGAACCAGATATGGAGAAAGATTCTTTCTTTGTGGTGAGGAAGGGGGATGTTGTTGGTGTGTACAAGACTTTTAATGAGTGTCAGGCTCAAGTTGGATCTTCAGTAAGTCTTATAGCTTCTCTTCTCTAGATATCGATCAGAGTTTGGAGCATTGTTTTGAATTTCTGAATTTTTTTTGGATAGATATGTGACCCTCCTGTGAGCATTTACAAAGGGGAATCATTACCGGATGAAACCAAAGAGTACCTTGCAACTTGTGGGCTTCAGAATGCTATATACACTATTCGAGCTCAAGATTTGAAGCCTGACCTCTTTGGCACTCTTGTACCTTGGCCATTTCAGGTGAGTTAGATAATCTTGGAACCCTTGGTTGTTCATCATGTGAACACATTAGCCTATAGGTCTTGAAGCTGGACTTATATAAGATTTTGACTATTCTGCAATTAACAGCAACCTGGTCAGTCCACCGAACATATCGATGCCAGGGATGACAAAAAGAGAACCCTAGATATGATGATACCACAACCAGCGGTAAGTTTGTGGCTTCTTTAAGATTGTAAACTCTTCAGCTTGCTTTCAGTGGTCAACCCTTCTCTGTGTGTGCTTTCTCTCTAGATGCATTGCTGATGTTTGGCAGGAAGCAGGTGGAACAACCACATTGAGTATAGCTGATCCCTCAAAGAAGGCTGTCCGATTGGATTATCAAATGGCTACTCCGATACGTTCTCTTGGTTATGACCCGGTAAGTGGTTATGTAGAAAAGATGTATGATCATGTGTAAACTATTCCTTCTGCTTTACATTAGACACAGCTCTTTGCCACAGTCAATTCTCAGGACACATTTCTTTGTATATCCTCTCATGAAGTTAGGTTGTGGATGCTTATTCTATGTAACTTAGTACAGTAAACTTACTCACTCTTCTGATCTACAGGAATTTTGTACCCTCGCGTTTGATGGTGCTTCAAGAGGAAACCCTGGGCCCGCAGGAGCTGGAGCTGTTCTACGGACAAGTGATGGAACTTTGGTGTGCATTGACTTCTAAGCATCTATAACATTTTTCTTCTTGATGTTTCCATATATCTGAAACTTCAGGTTTTGTGTAGATCTGCCGGTTGCAAGAAGGATTAGGCAACAAGACTAATAATGTTGCTGAGTATAGAGCTGTACTTCTTGGAATGAGATATGCTCTCCAGAGGGGCTATCGAAAAATACGCATACAAGGCGACTCCAAGCTCGTGTGCTCTCAGGTTTGGCTCTTCTTTTCTCCCTTTCCAGTTGCATTTTTGGGTTTAAAATGCCTAATAGATCACTGAAATATGATGTTTCTAACATAATGGTCAGTTGGTCACCAAACTACCTAAAATTCTGAACAACATTAACTAAACTAAACGGGTTGTAACAAAACAGTCACTCTTATCTCATTATGTCAAATAAGCTTGCACTGTCTCTCACCAAAATGTTCCAATCAGTCACTCTGTTCGGGTTCTAGCTTTTCCTAGTAGATTTTGTGCATTTGGGGTCAAGTTAGAAAGAGCTGGGTTGAGTTCATGGGGGTGTCGACTGGTCGGTTTTTGTCGACATGACAGCTCTGTTGGCATGTTCACTCAACCAATACCAGATTATATATCGTGATTGGTTTGCTACCAATGGCTTAGTTTCGGTAGCATTATGATATGCTTTATGTAATTCATCGACCGTTTGGCTATGAAACTCTTAAATTCAGCAATCTCAGAGGCATGTAATCCTTGCATTTCTTTTCACAGATGGTGAAAATAACCGTATCTCGAAACCTTTTATGTCACAGGTTGATGGTACATGGAAGGTCAAGCATGCTGGCATGGCCGAATTATGCGATAAGGTCAAAGAGCTTAAGGACAGATTCGTCTCATTCGAGATTAACCATGTTCTGAGGGTAAGACCAATTCAATAGCATGATGATACATCACCAATCCAATGTTTCATCTCATATTCGTTGACTGCCTTTTCTTTCCAGGAATTCAACGCGGAAGCTGATGTTCAGGCGAATCTTGCTGTCAATCTTCGTGGTGAGAAAACCCTTCATCTCATTTAAGCTTTTGCTCGTCCTGGCTGTTCAACGAACCGAGATTTATTAACAGTCTGCTGATGTTTCTGTTTCTTGCTTCAGAGGGAGCAGTTCAGGAGGTTTACGAATAGCAGCATAGCTACTTACACATAAAGCTTGTTTCTTCTTCTACCTGGTTTTCTCGCTTACCTGCCATTATCCCAGCGACTGAAATAGTCAAAGATATTCGACATTCCTGATGGGTAGAGAGGCTTCACATTCAGCACGAGAGATGTCGAAAGAGGCCAGTTTTTGCAATGTGATTTCCAGTGCCCATGCAGGTTTGAACAACTTATTATAAACTCTCAGAATATGAACTAATTACCTTTTGATGCTTGCATAGCCATTTTGGATACCATCGAACTTGCCATATGTTTTCAAACCTATAGAAAGTCAAATCAAGCTAACTTTTCATCAAACCCCTACTAGGATGATGATATGCTAAAAGGACTAGGGTGGCTGCAGGCACTAATTGGTCCCATTGATTTTGTCGAAACATTGAAGGATACTAAGCCTTTTTTTGCGACGGACATGTCAAAACATTACCTAAGCTTTGATAATGGCCATAATTACCTCATATGATCTCTTATACCGTCTTTGAAAAAGATCGTCATACTAGGCCTTGTAAGGGAAATGAGTAAAAAGATGCATATTTGGATCTCTCTTGACAACTAAAGGTATCATAATGAATCGGTTCTCGACGTGATTTCAGAGCTTTGGATCAAGAGGTATATGTTCGAATTTTCGATTGATATTCAACAATTAGTTTGAATTTGCTGGACACAAACTTACTCCGTCCAAAGTGCTTATGACGGAACATGGCCAAATTGTTGTCGCGATTCGGTTACTATGGATTGCGGGTCATGGATGGCTGGTTTAGCATACAATCTGGGAGTCATGAAGTCGGCTGAGTTATTGTAGGTTGTGAGTTATAAATTGGTGATGGTGCATACAACTTGAAAGATCTGTGTCAGAAGAGGAGCCATTCACACCAATATGGTCATGTAAGGTCGGTCAATCAAGGAACCATGCGATCTAAATAATTTCTTTTATCAAATACATGTCAGCAGAAACGTGTGCAATTGTCTCTTGTCTCGTACGAGGTCGTATTACCCAACCGAATATCGATCGAATGGATTGGATTGAACCAAAACTAATATGTACAACTTGGAATTGTCATCCCAATGTATGAGTACTCACAACTCACAAGACGATAATTAACACCACCTAATCAAACCAAGATTAGGGCATCCATCCACAACCTATATTTAGATTATATATATAGAATCAAAAGTTGCTACAGGGTGGATACACATGTAACCATAATTTTACCCGCAAAAGAAATAAATGGGAAAACTGAAAGGATTGTTTGTGGCCATCCATATAACTTTACGATCAATACCATAATAAGTTGTCAGCATGTCTGTCTGTCTCTCTGTCCCATAACCCCCCTTCCACTCCCTCATTAATCTAATTTCAATTGATTTCCCCCAAACCTAATTACCATTTTTTTTCCTATGTAACAAAACTAAGGAGTTGTTTGTTTGGTGTGCAAGAATAAAATGAAATAGGTGTGTTATAACGGAGCACGTGACCGACAAAAAAAAAAAAGAAGAAGAAATAAACGACATATTGTTCACCATCGCAACGTGTGATAGTTAAGTTCCGCTAATTATCAAATTCAACGCATTCCAACATAGTGATTCATTAAAGTGGAAAAAAAACCCCACAGAAATCCAATGAACCGGTCGGGAAATCGAGTAGGGTTAGGACTTGTTTGGCTTGAATTCCTTGGGTGGTGGACATTACAGGATGCATAGGTCAGGTGTCTGAACAAGAGATCTCTCTTGCGCGCGGGAACTAGACTTACGATTGTTTCATATCATAGAATTTAAAATATTTTTAACTTCGATTGACATTAAAACACGAGAAACAATCGGATGAATCAAGCCTTATCACGAGACTCAAAAACCGGATTCAGTTTCAACCTAGTTTTGATAAGATCTCTCTCGCTCTTATGTTTGATCGGTTTCATACCTGAGTTCAAGACCAGACCAAATCGTTATCCAACCCTCACACGACAAGTCAAGATCACCGATTATTCGACGATGGCCGCCCCATGATTACCCTCATTCCAAGTTCCAACTCATCCAAACAAACAAGCCCTAACTAAATTATTTATCAACAAAACCTCCTTACCCCCGAACCCATGTGTGAGTTATATAAATAGAGGTAGGATACAAAATTGAGGCACCAACAAAAAATAAATTTTTTTCCAAAGAGAGTCCCTCTCCCCCAAAAACTCTCCCAATTAATTTTTAGCTCCTCGATAGTAATCATGGGAGCGTGCGCCACCAAGCCAAAGGTCACCAAAGACGACCAGCTCCTCCCGGCGCCGGCGCCTGAAGAACCCACGAAACCGGCGGCGGATCCTTGCCAGGTGGAGGAGCCCAAGAAGCTAGAGGAGCCAGCCTCCGCCGCGGTGGAGGAGAAGGAAGTCATGGTCGTCGCAGAGAAGAAAGACGTCGTGGAGATAAAAACAGAGGAGGCGGCGGCTAAAACAGAGGATGGAGAGGAGAATATTACCGTGGACGATGAGAGCGCCAGGAGACCATCTCTTGGCCACCTTCTTAAAGAGGTAAAAAAAAATTTCACACCATAAGATCATAAGATTTTCTCAAGGTTTTCTTTGTTTAAGTATCTTTTCTTGGCTTTTCTTATCGATTTAATAGTGGTAGATTAGTAGAAAATAGGTTGAGATTAATTTTCACACGGTAGAACCATCGTGAGACCGGTAGATACTATGTTCAAACAACTAATCTGAATTTGAGAATGATAGGAAAACACTATAAAATCAACTAATGAAATAAAGAGAAATCCGTTTGTTTCGTGTCACAAGATGAATTGTTGTATACATATTCATAGATGGATTCTTCCTGATCAATTTTTCATCTAAATTTGTGGGACATATCTTAAAGTTTGGAGCTAAAGTTTGGACCAGGTTAACATCACAATGAAGTTCCTTACAATTTTAATTCAAAAGAAATGGTAATAATTAGTATTCATGATGAGTAATTACTATTTAGGTACTTTTTTATAATCTTTTTCTTAATGCAATTTGTTTCCTGTGCTAATCCGGCTGAATTAGTGGATGTGGGCTCCTCCTTTTGCACCAACTTAATCTAGGAAATATATTAAAAAAAAGAAACTGCAAAAAATTATAGTAAGTTAATAGAAAGAAGGGAAAGTGGTAGATGAATATACAACTGTGTGTACAGGCTGTTTGGGATGTCTTTTTGCTTGTCTAACGCGTTGGATTATTTATGGTGACCATTTGTTTTCCCGCCTCTTACCATGCCCCAAATACTTGCTACATTGATTTGATGTTTTTTTATGTAGTCATATTCGTTTGATTATCATAAAAGATTTAATTTAATTAATATGCAAAAAAGTACGACAATACACATGTTAAAATCTCGATACGGTTGATCTAGCTAGTAGTGATATATACAATAAGAGTTCACCATATTCTGAATTCATAGCTTGGAACGTAAGGAGTTTTTTTTTATAACTATTATGTTGACAGTACTATTGTTATTAGAGCTACGTACTACGTTTAGGTGTATTGGTTGATTATTTGCACGAGTATGTCGAATATTCACAGGAATGATCAATATCTGTCACGCTTTAGGTCGAAAGCTTAGTATGCTATGTTTAATGCAAATGTGTAGTAGGCTATCATATATCATATTCAGTTTCTTTTCTATGTGACAATTACTTGACAAGCAAACATGTGGTGTTTTTTTAGGGTTCTCAAATTTGGATAAGGACCTCACATAACCCCATTATAGTTTATGGGTCCTCCATTGTCTTCCTCATCCATTAACTTTCCATAATGCAACTTGGAAATTGAGATCCCCACAATAAAAACTGCCATGCATAACATGCACTTGTCTATGTCTTATTGAGTAATTAGAAATTTTTTGATTAGATATTGTGGATGGTATGGCTGTTGCTCGCCTCGTGACTCGATGTCCGATTTCAATTTATGAGAATGAAACACACTTTATAACTAGTAATCGTTTGCATATTTTGTTACATTAGTTACGAATTGTGAAAAAACGATTGTGTTATTCGATATTGTATACTCGGAGTTTTTACTAGTTGTGTTCGACTCGGAATTGGATTAAACGGGGTGTTTTGGTTGGATGGGTTGATGAACTTTTTGAAACTTTATGTTGCATGATAAATGAAAAAAACAGAACACAGAAGGAAAAGAGACTGTTGTAGAAGAAAGCAACGAAAAACCTCCAGTATCAGCAGAAGCAAAAGTAGAGGAGGCAGTGGTACTTGAAAAAGTGACACAGCCACCGCCAGCAGCAGAAGCAGCGGCTGAAGATTGCAAAGAGGCAGAGACCAAGACAGAGGCAGCTCCAGAAGTAAAAGCTGATGAAGAAGTAAAAGAAGAAGTAGAAGAAGAAGAGAAGAAATCAGTAGTGACTGTGGTTGAGTCTACAATTAAACCAGAGCCATCTGCTGCTACTGAAGAGCCATCTCCAGCTTGTGCTGAAGAAGAGAAGGCAGAGGAGAAAGCAGAGGAAGAGAAGGCAGTTGTTGTTGCTGAGAAGGTAGAAGTTCCTGTCGTGGAAGCTAAGAAGGAGGCAGAGGAGGATGCAGAGCCCGTTGAAGTAGTTAAGGAAGCTGTTGTAAATTAAAATGATGGTTATTATTATACAAGCCGTGGTATGATATTTTGGATTTTGGAACAGTTTCTTTTCTTTCTCTTGTGGATAAGTTTTTGGGGGGTTCTTGGGATATTTGGTTGTGTTCTTTTGATTGAATTGGTTGATGAAGATGCCACATTTTGATTGAGGGTAAAGGAGGAGTTTGATTGTGTGTCTGTTATGTGGGAAGGAAGTTGTACTCTTGTACAAATATTTATGTGTCATGTCTTCTATTCTATCCAATTTTTATGTGTTGATATTGGATTTTTTATGAGGACCACTTGGTTACATGACATGTGTAGACCAAATCTTATTGTAATTGTCGTTACAAAGTGTGAACGACGGGAAAGAGACAATATTTGAGCATAAACTCGAATATATCTCACTATTGAGTCCAGACTGTTATCTCGATATTGTTGAAATACAACTTGGTAAGCATAACATGTCAATCCCGAGATCGATTCTTAGACGGTGTTGAAAAACAGAGGGTTCGCATTGTTCCTCTTCCACACAAAGTAATCAAACGCTCGATGAATTGAAGTAATGTTATTTAGTTATTTCACGTTTTCTTTTGGAAAAAAGAATCTTAATGAAATATTCGATGAACACTGAATTGTTTTTCTTTCTTTCTTACAACTTATAGCGGTCATGGAAAGAACTGATTATAAGCACTACTAAGCAGGAGTGGTAGTAGCATCGTCGTTTGCTTGATTATGGGTGACAATTGTAACAACTCGTTTAACCTCCGATGAGCAGTCTTGATCTTCCACTTTTGGGATGCTCTTCTTCTCATCAATCTCCATCTCCATCTCCATCTCCATCTCCATCTTCACCATCTTCTCCATCTTCTCTTCTTTTATTTTTGCCCATAAAACACTATAGAGCCCTCCAGCCAACAACACTCCCCCCAAAATACTATGGAACGTTATAGAAGCCACCAAAACAAACAAATTAGAATAACTAATAGAGCTAAAATATGATTTCGCCTAAGCACCCTGGTGTTCGCGACCTGCCTAACGCCTAGACACGTCTAGACGAGTGCCTAATATCGTCTTTTCGAACCCTAACTATATATGATTACTACAAAAGCATGATACATATATCTACATATGTACCTTCCAATGTTGATGAAGTCACACGAGACTGCAGAGCATATCGTTGTGAAGATGAAAGCCAAAGGAGTGGAGAGGGCAACAAAGACTGGACCTTTCTTCTCTATAACCCATGCTTGCAAGTAATAGCTTACCCCAGTCACCATAACTCCCTAAGTACACATATACAACAAATTCATTAAAGGCTATTTTCCTTGTAGCCAAGGAGGAGGTAAACAAATAAAAAAGGTTGTACAAGTTTTTCCTTACACAATAAACCACGGCTACAAGTTTCATATCCCAGCCAAGTTTCCACTCATTGAAATCTCTTTCCATGGTAATTGCAATGGCAAATGACTGAATCGAGCCCGAAGCACATTGAATAGCCGTGAATAGAAGCTTTGGTGGATAACTCTTCTGAAGTCTTGCCTATGAAAAAAAAGGTGTATTATGCATAGATAACATTTTCTATATGGAACCCAAGAAGTGCGCGTATGGGATATATATACATCTTTTTTTCCCCGATCTTGGTCGTGTGTAACCTTTTTCCTTTTCAGATTGGATTAGGGTTGGATCTTCTAGAGAATGTGCTATATATATATCTTCTAATATTTGTTCTCTAATTTGTATCTTCTCAAGTATATATAGTAAAACTGGTATCTCCACCTTATGGATTAGCTAACACATAGTGTTAGCAAACAACGTAAATCTCTGGAATCTCTACTCTTTTCCATTCTCGATTCCCAGATTCGTTACAACAAAGTATGTTGCACCCCTCGATTTACCCCAAGTACCATAAGCAGATGTTCGAAATGATTCAACGAGAAAAAAAAGTATATGATACCTGAAAAATAAGCCAATAGCCCCAAGTGAAGTCAGACGAGAGCATCAAGGCACAACCTTTGATCCACGTTTTATAAGACTGACGACCCTCCCTTTGCCCTAAAGCATGTTTGAAGAGGCAGAGGACCTTGAAATGGGGGCCTTCATACAAAGCTAGGGCTGCTACTCCACCTGTGCATATCACTATCCCTAACAATTTTGCCTTGCCTGATTTACTCCCAATCCTCAATGTTTCCGCTCTGTGTTGGCCATAGATATAAACCTAATTAATCAATCACATTATCGCGTCTATGGTATATCCTCGATTTTAAATGCTTCATAGACGTGGTTTGATGATATAGATTAATCAGAATTTTTGTTAGTGTTTAGGTTTTGTATGTTACCGAAACAGAAGGGCCAAGAAGAAAGTAGTGACCGGAAGGGTATTCATGGTCGCCGCGGCCAACGTGGCAGAGGTGTACAGCAAGCCGAAGCCACTGAGGTTCAACGACGCGGTTATCCTGCACATGTGTACATCCATGTTGAGTACGTGGAAGATTTAAAGTCCTGACTTTTTATTGGGAGTTTACGAATATAAGATATAAGATATTATCCAAGCTATTTATCAACAATTCGAGTTATTAGTATGTTTTACATGTGCACTAACATAATGTATGTTGCTTTGAACACAAAATAAAGTAAGGAAACTAGTGGCGGAGATCAACATTTACCCGATGAGAGCAAGCACGAAAATCTTGCAGAAGGTCAGCACCGAGAGCGGAGGTGCATGCTTCCTATAATTCCATCATATGACCATGCATAGAGAAAATTAAATCAAGAGGTGAATCAAGATTCTTTTAATAGTTCGAGTTACCGAGATTCAGTTGGTTCCATCAAAGACTTTTGATTGAAAGGTTGGGGCATGTTCGAAACTTCGTAACATTCGTTATCAATTAGTTACAATTGATGCATGTAATTACATGGCCGGTGTGGATACGATGAACTTCTCGAGTTGGTTTTCACTTGATCACGGAGGGTAAATACGAACAAGAGAATATTAATTATAAGATCTTAATTTATTAGGTTGCGTCGAACAACTTGAATTATCGAGACGATACTAGACGACTTTTCAATAAATTAAGCAGATCAAGTATATATATATATATATACACGCACCATTCGAGGAAGAGGGCAGGAGGAGCGAGGATGAGGGTGGCAAAGGCTTGCCGGTAGAAGACCAAAACGGCAGGGTTCAAGCCGCCGTCGAACGCCGCCTTCGACACCAAGAACATTCCGGCGTAGATCAGCCGAATCAACACCACGGCTCCATACGCCTTGGTCGTGTCGTCGTTGCACCACGCCCAAAACGATGCCGTCTTTGAAGCTCCCCCTCTCTCTTCTCCAACCATTTCCACCTGCATACGACTGTAAGTTTCTCACTCTCTAGTATTAGTTTGTTTTTGGGTTGAAATGGTGGCTATGATGATATATATTTTTGGTCGTCGATATGTTTGAGAAGACGGGTTGTTGAAGCTTCCGTCTATTTTTCATGTGTTGATGATGACTTATCGATGACCGGGGAGATATATGGGTTTTCCTTTTGTTTGTACGTAGTTCATGGTACCATTTTGCCGCTTTCTAAATGTTTGATTTTTTTGGCAGACGCTTTCTGGTTTGATTCCTTATATGTATGTGTTGGAAGCTGCGGGCGGTGGTATCAAAGAGGGATATATGGTTGGCAGGCAATAGTAGCTTGGGGGGGAGGAAAGAGACTGTATGTGATGTGATATACGAGAGTTGGTTCGCGGCTCTATTTCCTTCACGCAAACGGTACTACCAACCAAGTTTGAGGAAGGAAGTTGTGGAACAATCTAGAAGAGTAGAATTAATGATGCTGGGCGGGTAGTTAATTTATGGAACTTCACTGACGACGAATTATTGGCAAATTACAATTCATCCACTAAAATATCCAATTAATCAATTCAATCTATTTGATTCAAATTCTATTGGATTGGCGGAGTGATGGATTGTTGGCAAATTACAATTTAGTACCTATAATTTTTCGTACTTTACAATTTGATACCTAAAATTTATTTTAACGTAAAATATTATTGGAAAATTATGTTTTGGTACCTAAAATTTTAATTATGACATTTTAGATTCTAAACCTTTTGAAATTTACATATTGGTCAAATGTTTAGATGTCAATTTGAATCTGCGATCCAATCCACCAATTCATTTGCCATCTCTACTTCAGACCCTCCATTGTCCGACTTGTTTTGAACTCATTGGCACTTTTAATACCATGGCAAGGACTATTCCAATTTGCATTTGAGAGATCATACCGCCATATATAGATATAAAGAAATCATTACTATAGTAAGTAGTGATGCTAGCTAATGCTTGTTAGCATTCGCTAGATTATTAGTGCTGATTGTAACAACTTGTTTAAGCTCTAATGTGCAGTCTTGTTCTTCCACTTCTTGTGGGATAACCTTCTTCTCATGATCCTCGATCTCGTTTTCTTCTTTGACTTTTGCCCATAAAACACTATGGAGCCCTCCAACCAATAGCATTCCACCCAAAACGCTACAATTGCAGCCAACAAACAAAACTAGATCAACTAAAAAATCATAATTAGTAAACTATGACTATCAATTTGAGTATGATACATAGCTATAAGTACCTTCCAAGGTTGATGAAGTCACACAATAGTGTAGAGCATATCGTTGTGAAGATGAAAGCCAAAGGGGTAGACATGGCCAAAAACACTGGACCTTTCTTCTCTAGAACCCATGCTTGGAAGTAATATGTTACCCCACTCACCATACCTCCCTAAATACACATACATTGCAAATTAATCAATCACAAACTAACCTTGAAACTAAGCAAAAACCCCATGATGTGACAAAAGGTTATTTATAAAAAAGACAGTACAACCACAGACGACAAATTGCAGGTCAATTAAATCGATTACATACACAATAAATCACGGAGACAAGTTTCACATTCCAGCCAAGTTTCCACTCATTAGGATCTCCTTCAATCGTAATTGCAACCACAAATGACTGGATTGTGGCCAGAGCAGATTGAAGAGTCGTGAACAAAAGCTTTGGTGGATAACTCTTCTGAAGTCTTGTCTATATAAAAAAAGGAAAGTAATTAGTTAGGTATCGGTTGAGAATGATACGAGTATGTGCAGGCTTCACTCGATACGTACGGTTTATAGTTTTGGTACCTGAAAGACAAGCCAATAGCCCCAAGCGAAACTAGACGAGAGTGTCAAGAAACTGCCTTTGATCCATGATGTATGAGATTTATGGTATTCGCTTTGCCAGAAGGAGTGTTTGAAGAGGCAGAACATCTTGAAATGGGGGCCTTCGTAGAAGGCAAGAGTTGCCACCCCACCCATGCATATTACTAACCCTAGCAATTTCACTTTGCCTGATTTGGTCCCGACCCTCAATGTTTCCACTCTGTGTCAACCATACATCGATTCACATCATAAATACATACAATCGCACTACACATAATGCAACCCGACTACAAAGCTCACAACCCATGTGTGAGAACGTGTTCACAAGTACGAAAGGTCATCAGATCACGTGGAAATACTCTGCGGTCGTTGGATAGACATAAAATACCATCGTGTCTATCCAATGATCGTGAAACTTCCATGCACGATCTGATTGCTCCACGTGTTAGTGAGCACTTCTCACAAATGGGTTGTGAGCAATATGGCATTAACTTTTAAGTACCGAAGCAGGAGGGCCAACAAGAAAGTAGTGACGGGGAGGGAATTGAGGGAAGCCGCGGCCAAGGTGGAAGAGGTGTAAAGCAACCCAAAACCATTAAGATTCAATGCCAACGTTATCCTGCAAAATATGTTCAAGATAATATATAGTTATTATTGGTTTTGACAACCCTTTGTACATCAAATTCTACATTAAGATTTTTTTTTCCCATCAAATTTTGTGGGTCTCGTAAATCTTTATGGTATGATGGCTAGTATGCGAAAACTTGCGTTTGACAGGACGCGTGTAAGAGATTGAACAGTATAATTTTTTTATCTTGAAAATCTCCCAAACGAAGTCTGTTTTATTTGGTACCAATAAGAAAAGTTTATTTACCCAGAAACTAAAAGCGGACTAACTATTCAAATTACGTACCCGACGAGGACAAGCACGAAAATCTCGCAAAAGGTGAGCAGCGACAACTTCGGTGCATCCTTCCTGTAATTCATCATAACCATGCATAAAGGAAAACAAATAAGGGGGTAAATGATAATTTTTATATTACATTTATTTGCAAAAAAAAGTTATGTAAGAGAACGTGAAAACATTTATTGTTGACCTGTTTCAAACAACTTGGGCATGAATTTGGTTATCGTGAATAAATTGAATATACGTGGACTACGTAATTGCCTAATATGCATGCATGGGTAAGCCAACTAGTACGTACCATTCGAGGGAAACGGCAAGAGGAGCAAGGCAGAGGGTGGCGAAGGCTTGCCGGTAGAAGACGAAGATCGCCGGGTTCAAGCCGCCGTCGAACGCCGCCTTCTGTACCAAGAACATTCCGGCGTAGATCAGCCGTGTCAGCACCACGGCTCCATACGCCTTCTTGTCATCGTTGACATTGCACCACGCCCAAAACGACGCCGCCGAAGCTCGTCCTCCCCTTTCTTCTTCTTCTCCACCCATATCATTTACGACTATGATGGAAGTCGTGGTCTTCTTTCACTCTCTCTGTTTATTTATCTCCATTTATAGTACATTCGTTTCCTTTTGTTGAATAATTTTGAAGCCGGCTACGATATTCTTGTCGCCGATCGATATGTTTGAGTAGACGAGTGGTTGAATGTGCCGCCCGTTTTTTTGATGCATTTAATTGATGATCGAGCGATGATCGTAGAGGTTGGGGTTTTATCCTTTTGTTGTCATCTTGCTTCGAACCAATTTGCCGCCTTTCTAAGCATTCTTTGCTTTGGCATTACCCCTACCTTGAATCTTAATTTAATTACATGAACCCCAAAAAAAAAAAAAAAACTAGGAGTTGTTGTAAACGACCTCCACGAAAATTGAACCCAATAATATTACTGTATAAAGAGTTTCACGTGTTTACTTGCGTGCTACATGAACTCGTGTAATTCATATTCGCGTTTTCGTATATTCTCAATCCCTAATTCATCGTCGACTTCTCCTCTCTCAAAGCAAAATCCGTATATTCTCAATCCCTAATTCATCGTCGACTTCTCCTCTCTCAAAGCAAAATCTGTCGGCAAACTCTCACCCGGTCAATGAATTACGTACGTGAAGAATTAATATACTATGAAGTCGAATGAGTGATATGAAGGGTTGGATGAGTTTTTAATAGGATATGTTGAGAGAATGAGAGTCACATCCTAAATAATTTGAATGATGAATGTATTGTAATTGTTTTTTTTTTTTTACGTAAATCATTGTAAGGATTTGATAAAATTTCATTTTATATATTTCATTTCGGACTATCTTGAACAAAATTCTAACGGCGGCATGATTGGTGTATACCATCCACCAAAAAATAAGGGTGTAGTGTAGATTATAGTCATCCTATTATACATATCTCATCGACATTGATTATTATTCTTATACAAAAGTAAAACAAGAACGCGTATTATTATATTATGATAGTAGTACTGGTAATGTGTTGGAAGATGCTGGTGGGGATAACAAAGAGGGATACTTTTGGAAGTTATAATTGCAGTAATTTCCTAATTTTATTAATAAAATTACATCATTCTTATAAAAAAATTAGTTGACTTATGCATGTAATTTAGTATGAATGTCAACAACAATAATAATAACAACATAATTTCCTAATAACTACTTCCATATATATGGTACTCCATCCATATATTCCTCATTATTGTTACCACTACTCCAGCTCCCAAAATTATTTATTTGTTATGCTAAAGGTTGAAGAAAGTGGTAGGTGTAAGCCAAATGTTGGGTATTTCCTAGTGCTTAGCTTGTTTAGATGTCCTTTGAGAAAGTATAGGCACGAGAAGAAAAAATATCAATTTGTACTATATTATTAACGAAATAATAATTTACAACATTTTCTCACTTCAGTTCATAGGACATTTTCTCAAAATATCAATAACCTATTTAACAAAAATCTAAGAGAATTAGCTCAAAAAGTTCATATGATTATAATTCAATAGCTCACAACATTCTCTAGCTAATAAAAAGATTGATGTAAAAGGTTGAGTTTGTAAATGACTTTAATAACCCCTTTGCTAATGACAGTCTAGCTCAATCTAAGTGACACCTAGGTGTTTCCTTACTCCGTCAACGTGGTCTCAATACCTAACTCACCGTGGAGGCCTTAGCGTCAGACATTTTGATGTTGCCTAGCACATAAGTGTGTCTAAGCATGAGTTTACACTTACTTTTTTGACCCATGGTTGTGTTATAAATCAACATGTCCCAATAACTTGACTAATCGGAAAATGCCCAGGTATGTATATTAATCACTTCTTACACACTCAATCAAACGCAAATCAGCTCATGAACATGAAATTTGTATACACTCACCTTACAATATACTTAAATCAAATATTAATATTGTAGATCGAAATCTGTCCAAGGTTCCATCTTGCTTCATTTTAACCGTATAACACCTAAGCTAAATTTGGACTATCACTCATTTACTCGATATTTGGTTTGAAAGTTGAAAGTGTCTGTTTCTCATGGTAAATTCTTGGATCCATATCAATATTTTCCAGTTTGGGCTTCTGAACAACTTTCACGGCTTTAGGGAAAAGTCCCATTTGGTTGGGCCAGCTTCAGAGTTGCTGCGGGCCGAATGGATTTAACAATCCTAGGCCTCACTACGAAACAGCAGTACTCCATATATAGCAAAGTCCACTGAAGGCAAAGGATCCACTGGTTCTCTTACCAACCCAAATTCATTCGTGAACCCACCCATTAGGCATTGGTTGGTGTTTGATGAAAGGTTTGTGGGCCGCAAAATAGGTTAATTATGTGTAGGTTCCACTATTATTTATTACGAATTACGACCACTTGTGTGTGAATGATATCGATTGAGTTGATGATCATATGACAACTAATAGGCCAAAGGGACTGTTGTGATCATCCAATGCGAATGATCCCTGTTGTAAGAAGAACTTATCGTAAGTACTACGTAGTAATAAATTAAGGAGTGACGACATTGATAGAAGCACATGTATCACTTGTGACAACTTATTTGAGCTTTGATGAGTGGTCTTGTACCACCACTTGTGGTATAGTATTATGCTTGTGATCTTGATGAGGCCAGAGGGACTATTGTGATTATACAACACGAATGGTCTCTCGTCATAAGAAGAACTTATAATAAGCACTGCGTAAGAATTAATTAAGTAGAGACGACATTGGTATTAGGAAGAGTCCCACTTGTAACAACTTGTTTAAGCTCTGATGAGCAGTCTTGTACTCCCACTTGTGGTATAATACTCCCCTCATGTTCCTGATCAACCTTATTCTGCTTCTCTTCTTTGACTTTTGCCCATAAAACACTATAGAGCCCTCCAACCAATAGCACTCCACCCAAGATACTATTACTCACAAAAACAACTAAATTCAAATTAGGTAAACTAAAATGAATTCTAATTGATAAACTACGATTACAAAATCATGATATATAATTAAAGTTGTGCATCAGTCAACTCGATTCATTGTAATTCGGTCCAGTTAGACCAGATCGTCGTCCACCCCTATATAAAAATTGGTACCTTGCGAGATCGATGAAGTCACACAATAGAACAGAGCACAACATTGTGAAGATGAAAGCCAAAGGAGTTGACATCGCTAGAAACACTGGTCCTTTCTTCTCCAAAACCCATGCCTGCAAGTAATAGGTCACCCCAGTCACCACAACTCCCTAAGAATACGTAACAAATAATTAGTTCTTCAGACATGAAATTAGTTAATCACACAATCTATTAATGGCTAAAACAATCGATCTTATTGTTAATCACGTACACAATAAATCACAGCGACGAGTTTCATATTCCAGCCCAGTTTCCACTCATTGAAATCTCTTTCTACTGTGATTGCAACAAAGAATGACTGCATAGAGCTCATAGCGCATTGAAGAGTCGTGAAAAGAAGCTTAGGTGGGTAACTTTTCTGAAGTCTTGCCTAATACCAAAGAAAAAAAAAAGAAACAAGCCAAGTTAAATATCAATTCAAAATGTAGTATCAGAGTCGAGAGGTAGAGTGTCGGGATTCCGACGACCCCTAACTCTCATTTTTTAATCTCATGGTATTCGTACATGTGCAAATTTCAAGTCCATATGAGTAGGCTTTCTTTTGAGGGGCATGTTAGTAAATGATATAATATTCATAATTGAATCTTTCCAAACTACTCGAGCTATTGGGACCAACTAGTTCTTAAAAATATATTAGAGCATGATTTGTCGTTAATCGTTTAGTCTCAATAATTTGCATTGTTGGAAGAGGCCTATATATGATTCTTGTGCCACTTCTTACACATCCTTTCAAACGAAAACCAACTCATGATACTATATCATAAATTGTTCAATACCAATAACTAGAATTGAATAGTATATGCTCTTTAGAAAGTTTGAAATGTATATATGGTACCTGGAAAACAAGCCAATAGCCCCATGTGAAGCTACATGAGAGCATGAAGGCACAACCTTTGATCCATGTATTATGAGATTGAATGTATTGACTTTGCCCATAGGAATGCTTGAAGAGGCAGAAGAGTTTGAAATGGGGGCCTTTGTAGAAAGCTAGTGATGCTACTCCACCCATGCATATCGCTAACCCTACTAGTTTTGCCTTTCCATATGTACTCCCGACCTTCAAGGTTTCCACTCTGCGTCCATATGACATCACTTCATAAATACTCAAAATCGAACGACCGTGCGTAAGGGATTTCAGTTTGGTCTTGTTTTTTTTTTTATTTTAATAAAAACCAAACTTATAAGAAGTTTAGTTGTTCGGGTTTTCAGTTGTTAAAACCGTTTAGCATCTTAATAGTTTTGGTTTTGGTTAAATCCAAAAAATCAATAAGAAACCGATAACACACTAACTAAGTCAAATACTCGTCAACAACATGAGTTGTCACCAGGCCAACTTATGTACGTAGCAGACTTCTTTCTTATTTTCATGCTTCTTGTTGGACCTTATCGCACGTCCAATAATTTTTTTTGTTTAGACCATTAATCAACAAAAAAATTGGCACAAGTAGAATTAATAGGTGTGAACAAATATGTGTATTCAGCCTTTGACTAGCCTTTTTCATTTTTATATTACCTAAAGAGAACGGCCATGAAGAAAGTAACAACGGGAAGGCAATTAGTGGTAGCCGCCGCTAAGGAGGCAGAGGTATAAAGCAAGCCAAAGCCATGGATGTTCATGGTCACCGTTATCCTGCACAGATATTACATTGCATGCTTGCAGACTAATTATTGAAAACCATAATTATATATAGAAATTAAGCTGACAAGTGGATAAATTCACGATCAAAGAAAAGTTGTAATAAATTGGATGAACAATATTATGATATGGGGTAAATTGCAATGTTGGTCACTCGAATTGCTGAAACATTCACGTTTGGTCACTAAAAGTATTTTATTCTATTCGTGGTCATTGGAAGCGGTTGAACGTTTCACATTTGGTCACTCTCCGTTAACACCGTCAATTTTTTTGCTGACGTGGCTAATTGAAATGCCAAATCAGTATAATTTAACTCGAAAAGTGAAAACCCGACCCGCCACATCATTAAACCCACCCCAACCAGTAACCCGACCTACCTAATTAACCCACCCGACCAAAAAGAGTCAATAGTCCATCATTTTCCTCTCTGCGAAAATCTTCCCCCGTCGGGGAGCTCTTCCAGCTGCTCCTCACATCCCTCCCCGTCCACCTCTTCTCTTGCATCCCTTCCCCGTCCACCTCTCCCTTTTAGCTTAAGAATGCTATACCCAATTCAAATTCCAAACTGGCATTTCTTCTCCCTCACGATCCCTTTATGTCAACAACCATTTATGGAACAGATCTCCTCAAGTTTGGGGAAGGAGGAAACCCAGAGACCTAGTGTTGAAATGATGTTCGGCTCCGACACAAGGATCACATGCAGTCATCGATCTAGATCCCCAATCGTCAAACCAGATCTAGAAAGCTCATCGTCGGCAAGACGATGCCACCTCCTTCTCTGTTATTCTTCTCCGAAACCACTTGGATCCGTAACTCTCCTGCGAGAAGACGACGCCGACAGCTAGGAAAGCCCCCAAAATGCTTTAGTCCTAGGTGGCTAATCACGAATCGCAAACTTTCGCGGTGATGGTGGTGGTCAACATCGACAAGGTAGAGTTCGGTTGGAGGTTGTTGGCTTTTCTTACCAGTCGACAACAACATCATCAACAATGGCAAAAACACAAAACCACCCACGGGAGAGAGTTCGATGGCCGCCTAGAGGTTATTGGTTTTTCTACCTCGTTGGGTTTAGGGAATTTCTTTGTAGAAACGAGAGAGGAGGGAGGATGGAGATTCATATTTGGGTTTTGGTGGGTTGGTTCTTGGTTCAAATGGAGAAGGGGTCAGTTTATGGGTTGGGAAACTGACGTGGCGGGTCTGGTTACCACCTTTTTGTGTTAAATTATGCTGACTAGGCGTTTCTGTTAGCCATGTCAGCAAGAAATTGAAGGTGTTAACGGAGAGTGACGAAACATGAAACGTTTAACCACTTTCAGTGATCTTGAATGGAATAAAATAATTTTAGTGACTAAACGTGAATTTTTTAACACTTTCAGTGACCAACCTTGCAATTTACCCTGATGATATGGTATGTAATTATAACTAACCCACTTTTTATACTCGTAAACTTGTCTATATAGTGTTGCTCTAGCCTATTAAAAAAAAAAAAAATAGTGTTGCTCTAGCTATATAAATTTATGGAGGAGTACCGCGAAAGCTTGATGCGATTAAACGAAGTTTTGTTCTCCACCTTCAGGCATTATCTTGAAGACTTAGTTCATTTAGAAATGAAGCGGACAATTAAAATGATAGATTACGAAGAAAATGAATGTATACATGAATGCTAAATCATAGGTGCACCGAAAATACCCGACAAGAGCAAGCATAAAAATCTTGCAGAACGTAACCAGCGAGAGCGGTGGCGAGTGCTTCCTATAAATAATCATAACCATAAAAAGAAAATCACCCATGAATAAGAGGTAAAACTTGGGCAATTGGTTGCTTGTACTTAACAAAAGTATCCAAATTTAAATATGACTAAAACCCAAATTTAAATACTGACGAGATAGTTAGACATGATTTTCTTACTATTCAACCCTAAGTCGCTTAGTTAATATATATGTATATATTTTTAAAATGATTATTTTGTTTTTCAACATACTTGATATTCTATCTATACATGCATGTTCCATATAGTTATATATACCATTCGAGGAGGAAGGCAAGAGGAGCAAGGATGAGGGTGGCCAAGACTTGCCGGTAGAAGACCAAAACGGCAGGGTTTAGGCCGCCGTCGAACGCCGCCTTCGACACCAAGAACATTCCGGCGTTGATCAGCCGGGTTAATACCACGGCTCCGTACGCCTTCGTGGTGTCGCTGCACCACCACCGCGGCGTCGTCTTTGAATCTCCACCACCACCTCCTCCTCCTCCTCCCATTTTTGTATGTGTAAATATACGACTGTAAGTATTGCTTAAAATGGGGCTTTCTTCATTCTTATATAGTACAAGCTAGCTAGTAAGCACAAACGGCATTAATCTCGTCTAATCAACTGGCGATTGGTTTGAGACCTAATTAAATGACTAGTTGAAGTCTCCGTCATGTGTATATATATAGTGACATTTGTGTTGGAAGAGAGGGATATAGCCCATCAATTAATATTAATTAACATAATTTATTTATAATACATTTTAAAAAGTTTGTTTTGCTTCATTTTCAATTTTCTGCTACGACGAGGAAAGCAAAAATGATATTTTTATCTTCAAAATTAATTATTTATTTTATATAAAAAATATTAGTATCAAGATTTGAACCAGAATATATTCAAGCAAAGCAAAGATAAAAAATATCATAATCAATTTACACTAGAAAAATTTGTTGATTTTTTTAATATAGAACATACACGAAGTTAAAATATGAAAAAGTAGAACAAAATTTCATCATGCTTAGCTATCACACTAAGTCTCTTATAAATACTTTTTATGGTGTTATATACTTCAATTTTCATATTTTAGTTGGATTTTAATTAATAATTTAGAATCGTAGTTACCTTATAAATGAATGATAATCTTAAAATCCCAACCTAAATATCATTGGTTGAATATTGCATATCGAATTGTAGTATTGAATATGGAGAAGTGATTAAAACTTGACAAGTAGTGTCCAGTTGTGATTTTTCCGACCTTTTGCTCCGTCATCTTCACCTCTTATTTATAGCCATCAAAAGTAACTAGCTCGAGAAAATGCTCAGCTGACGTGGAGTGACGATTACACTCTTAATTGCCTTGACATTTGGATGTGATACCATCTATCTTCAGTCTTGAACCCCTCTTCTTGATAGCTTCTCCTTACCTTGTGTTTTCAAATGATAAAAATGCTTAAGGCAAGAAAACCCCGCCTTCCCTCATGTGGGTGGGGATTTCGAATCACAAGGGTCAAAATGGTCAAAATAATTCACCTCATCGTCACATCCCTTCATACTTAGCCAAATTTCACCTCACGATATTGCATTTGGGATATGCTGATTATCCCTAATCACATCAGGAGGGGGTGCTTCAATACACAGCCAAATTTCGGAATTGATGACTTAGGATGGCGCATACACGATGACATATAGATGTGATGTGCTCAATAACCCAATATATGACAGTTGAATTTATAAAGTCATTTAATCTCTTGTATTTAACAGATGTACGTGTATATATTTTTGTGTAAGCCATTGATTATAGAAATTAATGATTAGAGTTGAGGAGAATAATTTTTATTATTCGTGATGATTTAGTCGGCGCGGCGGCGGAATAGAATTCGAAAGGGGTAACGCCAACAGGAAGAAAACGGGCGACACGTTCAACCACTTGTCTACTCAAACATATCGATCGACGGCAAGAATATCACAGCCGGCTTCAAAACTATTCAACAAAAAGGAAACTATTACTATGAAACGGAGATAATTAAACACAGAGAGGAAGTGTGAAAGAAGACTCAGAAGAGAGACAGAGTACGACGTCCATCAACGTCGTATATGGAGGAGAAGAAGAAACCTTGAAAAGGGGGAGGAGCTTCGAAGACGGCGGCGTCGTTTTTGGTTCAAAAGGCGGCGTTGAACAGGCGACAGCGAACTTCGAAGCTTCCGTCATAAACATGTATAGTAACAATGGTGTTGGAAGGCAGTGGTTGTCCGCTACAAAAATCTCCAAATTTAGGCGGAAATGGTAGTTTTGGAGGTTGGCGGCTGCTAAATTGATGAAATATTGAAGATTGCTAGCTATTGATTAAGGTATCTCTCATTTATCTCGTCAACAGAGCTCATTCCTTTAGTGTGTAGGTGTTCATGATTTCGATATTTTTGGATTCAGGTCTTAAATATTGGATTTTGAATGATATTATGGGCATTGTACAATCTCGTTTTAATTTTAGCATCTCCTACGAGTCACTTTCCAAATGTTTGTAGTTACCTTCAGGCTCCATCCACTTTGGAATGAGCCATAAAAAAAATGAAAAACGCAAAAAAGCAACCAATCGAATTAATATGTTTTTTTTATGCATAAGAGTGTTGATTGTGACGTGAGCCCATCAATACAATTTATAATACATTTTTAAGGTCTGTTTTGCTCAATTTTGATTTTTCAGAATGAAAGTAGGACTTGGAAGGGTGTTTTTGTCTTAACAATTGATTATTGATTGAACGAGGAAAACAAGAATCATAACCAATTGCAGTAGACAAATTTGTTGAATTCTTTTTTGATACAAAACATAGAAGTTAAAATCAGAATAGTAGAAAACTTTTCCATCATGGTTAGCTAGCACACTAAGTCTCCTATGAGTATTTTTATGATGCTTGATACTGCGATGTTCATATTTAATTGGATTTTAGTAAGCGATTTAGAATGGTTATTACCTTATAAATGAATGTTAATCTTAAAATGTCAACCCAATATCATTGGTTGAATATATATTGCATATCGAATTGTATTATTGAATATGCAGAAGTGAACGTCCCCTTAGGCCACAAATGTGTCTACAAAGTTTTTGTACAAAAGAAAGGATTGTGACCATATTAAATCCTTGATAATCAGATTTTTGTACCAAATCCTTAATACAAATTCATGAACAAACGACTCCTTAATGACGTATAAATAATTTATTTATGGAAGACCTGCATTTAGGCGAATGACTAAAGATCGGATTGGCTGTGGCTTTGCTCTAATCGCTTCATCACTACGAATTCGGCTAGATGTGTTTCGTCCATACATTGCGGTACAGTTATTTTGTCCTAGACGTCGTGGATATTGCGATGATAAATAATAATAATAAAAAAGACTTGTTTAATTATGCCTTTTTATGTTTTGTTTTTTGATGGCTCATTCCGATGTGTCTGAGGTATCCTACAAACATTTGGAAAATGACTCAAAAGAGATGCTAGAATATCATTTTCTTGAACAACACATTTTATATCAGAGACTTTGAATGTGAGATTAGTTGCGTTCCACATATACCTCGTGACATCCATTATCAGCACAATTGAATGTGCACACATGGTGCAAATACGGTAAAACTTGTGAGTTAGCTTTTGTTCGAGAGAAAGATGTGTAAGAAAATATTATAAGGTTAACGATTGATATGTTTCGAACAACATAAATTATTGACATAAACCAGTACTCATGAATAAATTTAAAAGAAGATGGATTGCGTACGATACTGCCTCATATGCATGCATGGTGTCTAATTAATACGCGCCATTGGAGGAAGAGGAGCAAGCTAGGCAGAGGGTGACGAAGGCTTGCCGGTGGAAGACGAAGACGGCCGGGTTCATGCCGCCGTCGAACGAACGCATCCCGGCGTAGATCAGCCGCCGCGCGTGTTAGTACCGCGGCTCCATACGCGCCATTGAAGGTTCCGTCCATTTGGTGATCGGAGAGATGGGTGTTATGTTATCCTTTTGTTGTCATCTTCCTAATTGGAACCATTTTGCCGCCTTCTCATCTTTCTTTCTGTTGGCATTACCCCTTCGAATTTTTATTCCGCCGACTAAATCATCGAGAATAATTTTAATTCGCCTACATTCTGATTCTATTGGACTTTTACATGTTTGGGTTTCGATTCTTTACCAAATTGGATTAAAATTAGATCGTACTGAAGTACTATATGTGTATACTTTTAGATCACTGTGTAATTTGTAATCTTGTCAAGTATAATGAAAATGACTATCTCTTAGTCTTACCTATAGATTAATACATTGTGTTAGAAAATTAGGTAAATCTCAATCCATTTTCTCATTTTCTGATTATCTCAATCCATTTGGTTGGGTCGGGGGAAAAACATCAGAGTTGCTGTCTGCGGGCCAAATGAATTTAACAAACCTAGCCCACGATCGAAACGATACAGCAGTATTCCATAGCAAAGTCCATATATTGAAGGCAAAGTGTTATCGGCCCAAAACTCTTTGCACTATATAAGTCTTCTACAAAAGGATCTATAGTCCTCGAACCAACCCAAATTCATTCGTGTGAACCCTTTTTTTTATGAAAGGTGGTTGGCCACAAAATAGGTTAATTATGCCCAAGTTCGACTGATGATGTCATTGTTGTGAATTACGGCCAATTGCATTCAAGCAATACCAATTGAGTTTACGATCATACGACAACTAGTAGGTCAGAGGGACTGTTGTGATCATGCAACGCGAATCATCCCTCGCTATAGGAAAAACATATCATAAGCACTAAGTACAAATTAATTAAGAACGACATTGATAGTAGTACGAGTGCCACTTGTAACAACTTATTTAAGTTCTGATGAGTAGTCTTGTACTTCCACTTGTGATATAGTATTCTCCTCGTCACCCTGATTAGGCTAGAAGAACTATTGTGGTTATACAATACGAATGATCCGTTGTCATTATAAGTGACGAAATTGGTGGTTATGCGGCGACGAAATTGGTAGTTGTAGCACAGGTGCCACTTGTAACAACTTTTTTAACCTCTATTGAGCAGACTTGTACTTCCACTTGTGGTATAGTATTCTTCGCATGATCCTGATCGACTTTAATATGCTTCTCTTCTTTGACTTTTGCCCATAAAACACTATATAGCCCACCAACCAATAGCACTCCACCCAAGATACTATTCCCCATTAAAACATAAGGTTAAAAGTAGGTCAACTAAACAAATTCTAATTGATAAACTACGATTGAGAAATCATGATATATAAGTAAGGGTGGGCATTTGCCATTAGTCCTGAACCAGATCGAATCGAGAGAGGCCAATTGTACCTTCCAAGGTCGATGAAGTCGCACAATAGTGCAGAGCACACCATTGTAAAGATGAAAGCCAAAGGAGTAGACATGGCTAGAAAGACTGGTCCTTTCTTCTCCAAGACCCATGCTTGCAAGTAATAGGTGACCCCAGTCACCACAACACCCTAAGAACATATAGCAAATTAGTTAATCACAAAATCAATTAATGACTAAAATAATCGATCTTATTGTTAATTACGTACACAATATATCACAGCGACGAGTTTCATATCCCAGCCAAGTTTCCACTCATTAAAATCTCTTTCTATTGTGATTGCAACAAAGAATGACTGGAAAGAGCTCATAGCGCACTGAAGAGCCGTGAAAAGAAGCTTCGGTGGGTAACTTTTCTGAAGTCTTGCCTAATACAATACAGAAAAGAAGTTATATGAGTCAAGTAAGATGTCAATTCAAGATGGTAAGTATATACATCATGTATGTTTAGCATGATTTGCCGAAACAGTTTAGTCCTAATAACTTGAGTTGGTGAGACTATAAGTAAGTGGTATATGATTCATAATTGAACCCCTCCCAACTACTCGAGTTATTGGGATCAACTAGTTCTTGATATGGTATCAGAGTCTCTTGTTGCTGAGAGGATTTCGGTTTGAATATCGACGACCTCATTTGTTAAGCACATGGTATTTGGACCTATACAAACTTCAAGTTCATATAGGGTGGGTTTCATTTGGGGATGTGTTAGTAAGTGACATATGATCCATAATTGAACTTCTCCCAACAACTCGAGTTATTGGGACTAACTGGTTCTTGAAAAGACCGACCATATGTATGGATCTTATATATATACTACTTTCTTACACGCCTTCTCAGACGAAAGACAACTCTTGAGGTTGAAAAGTTTCACAGACCCGACATACCATGTGTTTAAATCAACTATCAATATCAAGAATCATGAGGAGATGAACACAAGACATAATGATCAAACCATCGCTGATATCATATCATAAATCGTGTTGGTTCCAGTAACTCGAGTTGTCGAGAGAGACCCATGTATGAATCGTATACCACTTCCTTAATATAGACATTGAGACATATATATGGTACCTGAAAGACAAGCCAATAGCCCCAAGTGAAGCTACATGTGAGCATCAAGAAACAACCTTTGATCCACGTATTGTGAGATTCAAGGTATTGGCTTTGCCCATAGGAATGCTTGAAGAGGCAGAAGAGCTTGAAATGGGGGCCTTGGTAGAATGCTAGAGATGCTACTCCACCCATGCATGTCATCAACCCTACTAGTTTCGCCTTTCCAGGTGTACTCCCGACCTTCAAGGTTTCCACCCTGCGTCCATACGACATCATTTTTAAAATACACAAACCTGATTTTTTTATCAATCGTGTGTTACGGATTTCAGTTTAGATTTTTGGTTTTAACCAAAATCAAACCGGTCGATTTAATGATTTTGGTTTTCGATTTCGCATTAATTTCGAAAAGACAATATGAAACCGGTAACATCCTAACTAAGTCAATGTCGGTCAACTAATTAACAAGCCATTGTTATCAACTTATTTGTAGTAGACTTCTTTTCTATTTTCATGCTTCTTGTTGTCTTTTATGATTTCATTATTGCACTTCCCAAACTATACGTTTGTTTTTCTATTTATCTAAATTAAACCAAAACCGTTAAGGGACTTATTGATTTTCGGCTAACCTATAACTAATATAAGCCCCTTAGTAATTTTGATTTTGGTTTTTGGAAATTTTCGTGATTTGGTTTTTTTTTTCATACTTAATGATTTGATTAACCAAACCTGCATCCCTACCGTACGTACTCCACACACAAAAAAAAAAAGAGATAGTTTCATGCCAATTTCGGCGTAATTGTGCATGCAAATTTCGGCGTAATTTTGTTGGCATAAACTTCTATATATAAATTTTATTAGTCGAGTTTATTTCATCCTTTGTATAGGTGATAATTGACTAAAGTTTCCATTAAGATATATGTATAATGTATATTACCTAAAGATAACGGCCATGAAGAAAGTAACGACGGGAAGGCAATTAGTGGTGGCCGCCGCCAAGGAGGCAGAGGTATAAAGCAAGCCATAGCCATGGATGTTCATCGTCACCGTTATCCTGCACGTATATATAACATTGCATGCACACTAATTAAGACGTATCGGATAATCAAAATATCGATTCTAAAGAAAGTACATGTACTAATGGGAAAATACCCAATGAGAGCAAGCATGAAAATCTTGCAGAAGATGACCAGCGAGAGCGACGGCGAATGCTTCCTGTAACTCATCGTAAGAATAAAAAGAAAAAATCATCAATGAATAAAATGTAAAACTTGGGCAGCTTGCTGCTTGTAGCGATAGACAAAGATATCCGCATTCGTATATATCAGTCTTGAATCCTCGATTTACTATATCGCGCGGATATGGTAAAACGCAAATCAAAATAACTACTTTTAGTGTATATGACGCTAAGGTATATGGATCGTTTGTAGATCCAATAGATGCATTTTATCATAGATAAAGATAGTAGCGTAGCGATTCATAGTTATACGTTTTATCGTTGATTTGATGAAAGCGGTTGTTTCTATAAGCCAAAGCTGTTTACCCAAATTTGAATATATAGGCTTGCATGATTTTTCATACTATTTAAATATATTTTCCATGGTTATATACCATTCGAGGAAGAAGGCAAGAGGAGCCAGGATGACGGTGGCCAAGACTTGCCGGTAGAAGACCAAAATGGAAGGGTTTAAGCCGCCGTCGAACGCCGCCTTCGAGACCAAGAACATCCCGGCGTAAATCAGCCGCGTTAATACCACGGCTCCATACGCCTTCGTGGTGTCGTTGCACCACCACCACCGCGACGGCTTCGAAACTCCTCCTCCTCCTCCTTCTCCCATATATATGTATGTGTCAATATAGACTGCAAATATGCTTAATCAATGTGTCTTTAATTTCTTTCCTTCTTATATATATATTTATAGCATAAGCTAGTAAGCATATTACGGCATCAATCACGTCCTCGCGATTGGTTTGAGACCACGACTCGTTGAAGTGTCCGTCAAAAAGATACATAGTAACCATGTGTGGGAAGGTTGGGTAACATTGTTTAATATAAAATGAAAGAGTCAAATGCATCGGTTGTCCGCTTACCAACATTGTTTATATAAGGTTGCATAGATGATAATAACGGGTTGGATAATTGACAATGACAGGAAGTAAAAAGAACATGCTGACTATAGTTAGGTTGGTTAACGCTACAAGAGAGAGCAGTTCCACTATACTTGAAAATATTACAGATTGCAGATGAATTTAGAAGTATGTATAGTACTTTTTTTCATATGGCCTAACTCAAAGCCAATATGGTAAAGAATAAGGTTGCAGACCAGACCCAGAACAACAATCCCAACGTGTATAAGCCTATACACATGCATGACTAGGGGATGTTGCCCCCGAACCTTATCAGGATAGATAATCCGATTCAACACAAATCAACAATAGGTTTGTTTTTATTGTTGAATGCTTACTTATTAAGGGATTCGAATATGAAACTTATAGATTAAAGATCGACAACAATACCGATAGATCAAGCCCTTATTCGTCAGCTACCAACACTTCGAGTCATTTTCCAAATGTTTATAGATACCTTTCAGACACTTTGAAATGGGTCTTGATAAAAAAAAACAAAATATAAAAAAGCAAGCAATCTAATTAGCATGTGTTTTTTGTTTATCATCGCCAAGAAGTCGAGGACAAAAATATGTACCACAATGTATGGACGAAAAATCATCAAGCCAAGAACATGCTAGGTAGTTTTAACCATTAGATGGATTTTATAAACTTTTGACGTTACAAAACATGTTGTGGGTGATTGTAAACATCAAGGTTGTCAAACCGGTTTATGCCAGTGTGCCGGTTTAGCAAGTGGAATGGTTCAACCGGTGACACATACCGGTTTGTGCCGGTTCATGCCGGTCAATATTAAAAATATAATTATTATTACTCATATTTAAACATGACATTTAACGTCAATACCTAAACATTTATACTTGAATCAAACAAATAACATCAATATTTAACTTTTATACTCATAAAATAAATAATAAAATAATTTTTATTAATTAAATTATCTAAAATAAGGTCATTTTATTTAGAGATTCATATATCGATCATGCCGGTCATACCGGTGGTGTCACACCGGTTTTATGGCCGGTACCGGTTGAACCCGGTACAACCAGTGGCACGCCGGCCGGCGTGACAACCATGGTAAACATTAACAAAGTCCGATTGGAATCGATCATCTAAATGGTTGGAATGCATTTCGGCTGGACAATTTTGAAAAAAAATCAAATGCAAATCAAACCAGTCAAAATCGGGTTAAACCAATTAAAAACAACTAGTTTGACCATTCAAACCCGTGTTTTTTATGAGTCATTCAAACCCGTATTTGAAGATAAAGATTAATAATTTTGTAACATATATTTATTTAGAAGAAATCATTTGGAAATATATGAATATAGATTAGTGAGATTGTTCTAAAATATGTCACACATATGCATAATCTATTTGATATTAGAGGTTTTCTCACATTTTATTATATTAAACTCGATTTGAACTAGTTGAACTTGATCCGACCTATTAAACTTCAAATCACTTGTCAAACCAACTTGATTACTTAATTCGATTTGACAACTTGTATGAAAAGGTAAAACAAGAAATATTATTATATTATAATAGTAGTAGTAATTTGTTGGAAGCTTCTGTGAGGGTAACAAAGAGGGATACTTTTGGAAACAATAATGGCGCAATTTCCTAATTAGTAGTTGACATATGCATGGGTCCATACATGTCAATACAAATAAGTAATAATTAACATAACTTTCTGTTCCTGATAGCTACTTTCCATATATATGGATGTGTTATAAAAAAAGTGGTTATACGATCCGGTCCGGTTAAATTGGTTTAAATTGATCCGGTTCAGTCCGGTCTTTTCGAAAATATAAGGATCAAAGATTGGATTGGATACAGTCCGACCTTGATCCGATATGGTCTTGACCCGGTCCGGTCCCAATTCGGTCTTGGTTGTATATTGAGTTTGTGTGGATTTGAGTGGCCTAAGGCATGAAAGAGTGAAGAGTTGGTTCAGTTTTGTACTAAGTGCAAATGTGTGTGACCGTTTATGCTAATTACTTTTAAATTTTGGGTGTTGAACTCTTTATCCAGTCTTTATCCAGTTTTTGATCCGGTCTCAAACGTTTTTTTTTACCTCAAATCTAAGCCCAAAAATTGGATTGGATTGTTACTATCCGATCTCGATCCAGATTATACGGTCCGGTTTCGAGTAAAACCAAAAAACTCGGACCAAATAGCCGGCACTAGTTATAAACCAATAAATTACATAGCTAATGTATGAATCTTAATCACTCTTTTACACGTCTCATTAAATAAAAGCAAGACTTTTCAGTTTGGGCTTCTGAAACAACTTTCACACTAGAAAATAGTTTCATTTAATTGGGAAAATCTCATATATAGACAGTGGCATAATCATAATTTTGATTAAGGTGGGTTTGAAGTAAAAATATAAAATATATAAAATATACTTTATTAATATTTAAACAATCATGACCGGCTTTCATAGTTTGTCGACCGATTTTTTCTTGAGAATGAAGAATTTGATAGTAAATTAGGAATTAGCAAACTCAAAATGAACAATTAGCGACACCATTTTTATATAAATCTAGAGTTGTTTACATAATATGCAAGGTTAATATGTGTCATAATGTTCCCTACAATCTGTTGGTAGACAAGTAAAACTATTGAAAGTGTGATGTTGGGTTTGAGTATTACAAAATTATGTACAAATATTATTATTTTTGGGTGTTCTAATTCTGAATCAAAGTAAATCTCGGAACCCACTCTCTAAGTAACATTGTGACTCCACCACTATATATAGATGTTAATCACCTTCTTACAAATCTCGTTAAAGAACAGCAATATTTTTAGGACTTCTAAAACGACTTTCAGGGCTTTAGAAAAAAGTTCCGTTTGGTTGGATCCGCATCAGAGTTGCTGCGGGCCGAATGAATTTAACAAACCGAGGCCTCAATCGGAACGAGACAGCAGTATTCCATAACAAAGTCCATTGAAGGCAAGAGCTGTCGGCCCAAAACTCTTGCACTATATAAGTCTATAAAAGGATCCACTAGTCCTCGAACAAACCCAGATTCATTCTTGCGAAACCCATTAGGCTTTGGTTGGCGTTTGATGAAAGGTTGTGGGCCGCAAAATAGGTTAATTAAGTTTAGGTTGGACGGCTATCTATTACAACATTGTAGTGAATCACGGTGTTGATGTAAATTGAATCGGACTATCTGGTTACGACTGGATGTCATGGGGTTTTCCTTGTCCGGTCAGCGAGTGGAGTCCAGGGGCAACGTTTTTTTTTTCCTTTACCAAATTGGATTAGTGTTACGTTAGACCATGGAGAAGTACTATAAATACTTCTCATACTACTCTGTAATATGTATCTCCTAAAAGTATAATGAAACTGGCTCTCCCTTGCTCGTGTATACTAGCTAACACATATTGTGTTAGTGAAACACGTAAATCCGTGTGTCGTGTTTCGTTCATGCTTTCGTATTCTTGTTTTATCATTCCTCATATTTTTCGATCCGCAGAGAAACAATCGTGACACATGGGCTATGGAGTCGTGGTAAGGGATAAGGAGAATAGATTTTGCATGACAGCAGTGAGGCGTACCAGGGTTCAGTGGAGCCCCATTAATGGCGGAGATTATAGCGATTCGCTTTGGATTGACAATGGTTGAGGAGCATGGATTCCGATCGACAATGATTGAATCGGATTGTCGGATTGACAATGGTTGAGGAGCCCCATTATCTACAACGCGCATAATTTACAAGAATGGAGGAAGGTGACGCGAGTGCAGGGGTGAAGGACGTGCATATCACCGATATGACCGACATGGTCGATTTGTGGACTATAGACAGAATAACGTCGTTTTAGTTAATTTCATCAATAAAAAATTAACTATGATTCATTTCATGGTTTTAAAAAGTTAAATATTGATAATATTTTTTGAATTCAAGTATAAAAATTTTGAGTTTCGACGTTAAATTTCGTATTTAAATATAAATATTTTTTTTATCTTGTTTTGAATGTTATATTTTATTTAAACATAAATATAAATTATAAACAAATTATCTTCAAATATATTTTATATATGCTTAAATGCATTTGATGTTAATAGTTTTTCATATTTTTATATATTTTACTAAACCGACACGAAACGACATAAACCTGTTGTACCACCCGCTGAATCATCCAGTTGCTAAACGAATGCAACGATATAAGCGGATTTGATAACCTAACCTTCATATTAATCATATGCCCAAAGAAAATAGACCTAACCGCGATTCTCATTAGTGCTGCACGTCTTTTTTTTTTTTTTGTCAAAAGATATCATCTATTGATAAAAAAGATAGTTACATTATGGACACCAGCCAGGCTCTGAAATCAAACAAACGACACATAGTCGGATACAAAGAGAAGGCTTTTCTAGCTACCGAATGAGCTACCCTATTTAGTGTTGCATGTCTTAGTGAACAGTAATCCGGGTTTTGCTATATATATATATATATATATATGCCTAGCTAACGTGAATATATATGTTAATTAATAGAGGCGTAAAGCGCTATTCTATCCATAGTTTTCATTTACGTACCATTCGAGGAAGAAGGCGAGAGGAGCAAGGATGACGGTGGCCAATACTTGCCGGTAGAAGACCAAAACGGAAGGGTTCAGGCCGCCGTCGAACGCCGCCTTCGAGACCAAGAACATTCCGGCGTAAATCAGCCGTGTTAATACCACGGCTCCATACGCCTTCGTGGTGTCGCTGCACCACCACCACCGCGACGTCGTCTTTGAATCTCCTCCTCCTCCCATTTTTGTATGTGTAAATATACGACTGTAAAAAATGCTTAAAGTGGGGGGGTTTTCTTCCTTCTTGTATAGTATAAGCTAGTAAGCATAAACGGAAATAATCTCGTCCTCGCGATTGGTTTGAGACCACGACTTGTTGAAGCTTCCGTCACAAACATATGTAGCAACTGTGGTGTTGGAAGGCGGTGGTTGTCAGCTTCCAATATTCCTAAATTCGGTCGGAAATGTCCGTCGCGTGGTTGGCGGCTGCTTAATTGATGAGATCTTGAGGATTCATCATAAAGTATCATAACCTTTGAATTTTTCAGTACAACTTTCCATACATGTTGCTGGTTATTATTGAACTTCATGGGACGGCGCCAAGATGCCAATACCAAGAAAGTATCGAACACAACCTTCGGAAGCTCATCCCTACTCGAAAATGGATACTAAAGACTACTGGTTGGTTTTTTATGGTTTGTGTTTTGATGGTTCATTCCAAAGTGTCCCAACGTATCTACACACATTTGGAAAATGGGTCAAAAGAGGCATTGTGATGCTAAAGTATCCTTTGTTTCTTTAACAAGACATTTTGGCCATAATGACTCGTTTTGGAAAAGCACTGGCCATGTAACCAAAACTATCCGAATCCGAATCCGAATCGGTTGGTTCGGCCTGTTTATAAGATTTAGACCAGGAGCACGAAGTTTGGTCGATTATTCGTAACTCCAATAATGTAGTCTGAAATTTAATAGAAGGGTGAATTTGAACTCTGGTTCAACCTGTTTATATGTGTGTATATTTTAGCCATGACTTGTAAGGTGGTTTACTTTAAATTAACCCTTATTTGTTGCACGCCCTGACTTGTGTAAGTTCTTTACAAGCGTGAAATGAACACAACAACATGCATCATAATAACCTCATTAACTAGTACGCATGAATCCTATATCTTGCATATCATACACATAAACCGATTTCTTCGTATTGCATGGGCATAATTGCTAAACAAAGAATTAATCATCAACGATATAAACTTAATCTTATCGACTTGATTATCGATATCCCGTCGCATCATAAAATTACACTCTTCATAAACACAAATTGGGGGGGGGGGGGAAAATGAGTAGTTCACATGTCATTTTGATTGAAATCAATAGTCACATCGCCGACTCAAACAATTTGTCAAAGTTGGGATATCTCAATCTCTCTTATTCCAATTCAACATATATAAATGAGTGGACTCTTCATCAACAAACAACGCATCCACAACTTGGAAAACCATCAGAAACACAAACCATACATAGAAGCAAAATAATACAACAAACAAACAAACCATCGTCGCCCTCTTATTCCATATGGGAGGAGCTTCACCGACGGCGAGGTTCGGCGGTGACAAGAAGGCGTACGGAGCGGTGGTACTAATACAGCTTATCTACACCGGGATGTTCCTCCTCTCCAAGAAGGCGTTCGACGGCGGCTTCAAAGCTTCCATCTTCGTCTTCTACCGGCAGACCTTCGCCGCCGCCCTCATCGTCCCTCTCGCCCTCTTCCTCGAATGGTAAAAATTATAAATACACAATATTATTTCCACTTCATCAATATAGTCAAAATCGCGTTTTAAAACTTAAAAACTTACGTTTTTACACTTCTAAGTTATCATAATATTTTTACGTAAAATCGAAGTTTTTATAACTAATGTAGTTAAAAACGCGCTTTAAAGCTTAAAAACTTATAATTTTATTTTTCTATATCACCAAAACACTTCCTACGCGCTTTGTGTGCCGCTTTTCATCACTACATTGCAGTTCACTACCTTTGACTCTTTTTATTACATTGATATAACACTTTTTTCATGGTCCAAACCTCGGCCGGAGGCGAACAGGAAGCACGCGCCGGCGCTGTCGCTCCCCACCTTCTGCAAGATCTTCGCCCTCTCCCTCTTCGGGTAAAATAAATCAGTTTATTTCAGTTTTGTTCAAATTCTTAAGCCACATATCGTGTAATGCGGCACACAAGGGAATTACCATATTATATATGGTAATTATTAATTAACAACGGATAGATTGACACATATGTTGATATCGTTGGATTGTTATATCGTGTCTTTTGACGCATTTATAATTATGAATTGATGGATGGATGATGCAGGATAACGTTGAGCTTGAACATCAATGGGATAGCTTTGATCTACACTTCAGCCACTTTGGGTGCTGCCATTGGTAATACCCTGCCAGCCATTACGTTCTTCGTGGCTCTTCTATTCGGGTAAATTAACTAATTAATTCATATTAGTTTTTTTTTTTAAAAAAAATTAATAATCTTTAGCACTTCATCCAAAGTCGCTCATCAAATTTGAAGATTAATCTAATCTTGTTTAGCACTTTCTACTCTCTGCTATCATTAATTAATGAGCTAATACAATTGGGAAATCCGAACTATAAAAAAAAGTGTCATTTGTGTCCCGAAAATATTCAATATTCCATTTATGTCCCAACGTTGTAAGTAAACGGTATATGATCCACGATTGAACCTCTCCCAACAGCTTGAGTTATTGGGATCAACTGGTTCTTGACATGGTATCAGAGCCTTCTGTGATCGTGAGGTCTTATGTTCGATTCCCGATGACCCCCATCTGTTTCTGTTAAGCACACGGTGTCCGGACCTGTGCCTGTCCAAACTCCAAGCCTATCTGAATGGCTTGAGTTTGAAGGGGGGGGGGGGGGGGGGTGTTAGTAAACGGTATATGATCTACGATTGAACCTCTCCCAACAGCTCGAGTTATTGGGATCAACTGGTTCTTGACAAACGTATGATAGTTTTGTGTCAAAAATATCATGATGATTTTGTTAACCGTTATAGATAACGTTTGACCAGATGGTGGTCAACTTGATGTTGACTTAGGAGCGGAATCGACGAAGCGATTAAGACAATTTGGGGATTTTTGTAACTTTGTATTTTTCTCATTTTCATCATTTTCGATGAAAATATAAATAAAATTTACAATTTAAAATTACATATCAGATGCCACGTCGACGCTGACTGAATTTTGTGTTAAATATTGACTGTCAAACTTGGTCTACAGAAATGAAAAAATAGTTATGAACATAAATGTCATATTGAATAGTTTGGAACACAAGTGACACTCTCTTGATAGTTCGAGTTTCCCAATGGTATTATCCTTTAATTAATAAAGTATAAGTCAAACAAAAATCAATATTGATAGTTCTAATTTTATTGAATGTGTGAAGATACCTTAATTTTTTTTTTGTCCTTCTCAATACACCATCTTTTTTAATGTGGTTGCATATATTTGATGAAATGATTAATTATATTGAACTAGGATTAGGTCGGGATTTAACATAGAATTACTGATATTGCTAGATCACGTTCTTGTGTGATATCCACCATCCAAATAATCCAATGATACTATATATGTGCATTATTGGATGACAAAAATCAAACAAGTTTGCCAAATTGCCATCATGTATGATTGTGTGTTTTAACTATCTGATTGTGCATCTATGTGAGCACGTTGGATTGTGTGTTTTAACTATCTGATTGTGCATCTATGTGAGCACGTTCTTACAAAGCTGAGTTGTGACCATTTTTGCCAAAGTCAATATAAGATAGCTTCCTACATATAAAAGTAGAAACAATCTAACCATTCATAAACACTAGTTAATAATGACTGTGTTCTAAATTAAAGTTAATTAGCTAATTTTGTTACCTAACAGAATGGAGATATTGAAGGTGAAGACAAAACCAGGGATGGCAAAACTAGGTGGGATAGTTATATGCATGGGAGGAGTGGCAGTTCTTGCTTTCTACAAAGGCCCCCATTTTAAGGTCTTGTCTCTCTTTAAACATGATGACCTCCATGGACATGACCTTAGACCTCAGCAAAACTCTAGCTCTTTTCATAACACATGGGTCAAAGGTTGTTTCTTGATGCTCTTCTCCAACATAAGCTGGGGCTTCTGGCTCATCTTTCAGGTAGGTACTAGCTAGCTTTCTACCTTTCTATAGAATCACTAGCATATAAGAGGTTGATTAAGTTTGTTTGTGGTAGGGACAAATGTCACAATTAATAGATGGGTTAGGTTTATACAAATGGTACAACAAGACAGAGGACTTTCCAATAGCTCACCCATATTAACAATATTGTCATGCAATCTCATGTAACCTAAAAGTTTTGATAGAATCTAATGCATTAGTATTGATATGATCAAACATGTAACTATACAGGTCAAACATGGTTGGATGACAGAAATTCACATGCCAGACAAATCTGATTATGATGGGTGATGGGTCAGATCATAACTGTTTTGGTTAGGTTTGGGTCAGATAGGGTTTGTCCCCAAGTTAATTGGGTAAAAAATTACCACCTTTGATTCATAATTCCATTGACACTCTTTTTTCCTTCAAATTTTCATTTGGTGTTGTAGGCAATACTTCTGAAAAGCTACCCATCAAAGCTTCTCTTCACAGCTCTTCAATGCGTTCTGAGTTCGATTCAGTCCTTAGTTGTTGCAGTTGCCATTGAGAGAAATCCCCACGAGTGGAAGCTTGGATGGAATATGAGACTTGTGGCTGTAACTTATTGTGTAATCATAACTAAACTCATAACCATAATGACTACATAATCACACTATTAAGTTGTGGTTTCATGGATTTGCTTTTTTATCTCTAGGGATTTGTGGTGACTGGAGTGACATATTACTTGCAAGCATGGGTTGTAGAGAAGAAAGGTCCAGTCTTTCTAGCAATGTCTACTCCTTTGATTTTGATCTTCACAATGTTGTTTTCTGCACTGCTAGGCGACTTCATCAATCTTGGAAGGTATATAATTATATATCATCCTCTTTCCTTCTTTTTTTCAAGAATTCAAATTATTTGGATTGAGTTACATACACCTTCAGTGTAGTATAACAATTTATTGGGACGTTCAGACTAACATAAGATTGATCACCTTTCAAAAACTAAAAGAAATTGAATACGTACGTGTATTTATATATAAATCTATCTAGTTATTGAGCAGTAAACTGTAGAATCTTACCAACTCGTGAATCCAATTGAACATTGTTCTTGTTTGGTGATGTGTTTCCATAGTGTATTGGGTGGAGTGTTGTTGGTTGGAGGACTTTACAGTGTTCTATGGGCAAAAGGCAAAGAAGAAAAGATTATGATTGCTGAGAATATTGACGAGAAGATGAAGACTACACAAGTGGAAAAGGAGAGCTTAGAGCTTAAACAAGTCGCTACAATCATTAGCATCCCCGATCATCAAGCATCACAAACCAATGAGTCGAGTTAAGTTTTGATGGGGAAATTAAGATCTTCACATCATCTACATGCAATTCATGCTTAAGGAAAAATAGGAGACATAAAAACAAGTTTCTTTTAGAAGAAGCGGTGGGAAACCATTTCTTCCATTGTAAGAACTCGTGTTAACAGTCGTAAGGATCAACGATCGAGTAGAGGATAGGACCGAGGCAAAAAACTAGTCACAGACGACAAATGTAACAATCTCTATCAATTCCATAGTTTCACAAAGCATCCCTTTTCATATGCACTTTGATTTACAGATCATTCACTACCAAATTGTAAAAATACGGACTTGTAACAAGACTTGGACAAAACAATCACTTATGATTAGTTTGGACGAGTTATATTGCATATGTGGTATTTTGGGATAAACTGATGCATTATTGTTAGATGTGGCTCATATCGCGCGAGAATTGTTTTGTTTGATTAGAGCTTTCACATGAGTAATTTGGTTTGAGGTATTTCTTCACAAAAAGGGAAAAGGGTTTACAAGATGAGTTATTTCAAATAATTAACTACCCTTGAGGTGTTATTCCAACTAACTCATTTTAAAACATTATTTCAATTAATTCATATCCAAATTGTCATATTTGATCTTTTCGCTGCCAACCTAGTTATTAGCTAGTTATATAACATGTTTATTATTAGTTATATATATTGTTTCTACTTTTATATGTAGGAAGCTATCTATATGGAATTTTGAGAAAATGATCACAATGTAAGAACGTGCTTACAAAGGCGCACAATCTGATAATTAAATGCCTTATGGGTGATGGGTGAAAACGACTAACTTTGGTTCATATACCCCAGTGACATTCCTTTATTCTAATTTTGCATTTGGTGTTTGCAGGCGATACTGCTGAAAACCAACACATCGAAGCTCCTCTTCACTGCTCTGCAGTGCTTTCTGAGTGCCATCCAATCCTTGGTGGTTGATGTTGTCTTCGAGAGAGATCCCCATGAGTGGAGACTGGAGGCTTGGGTGGAACATGAGGCTTCTGGCTGTGATCTACTGTGTAATCATATAACTAAACTCATTAATTATTAACCAACTTTCCAAATTGTGTTTGATGTATTCTTTTTCTTCTTATGTAGGGAGTTGTGGTGACTGGATTAACATACTACTTGCAAGCCTGGTTTCCAAAGAAGAAAGGACCGGTGTTTCTAGCCATGTCCACCCCTCTGGCGTAGATCTTCACCAAGGTGATTTCTGCACTATTGGCTGATTTCATCAATGTGGGAAGGTACATGTATACCTTCTTTTTTCAACAATTCAAGTTAGTCTGTTGAGTTCTTCACTTATCGTAACATTATATTTTGTTTGGTGATGTGTGTTCCAATAGTGTACTGGGTGGAGTGCTTTTGGTTGGTGGTCATTACTGTGTTTTGTTGGAGAAAGGTAGAGAAGAGAAGATGAAGAAGATGATTGCTGAGAAAAGTCAGGAGGGCTTAGAGCTTATAGAAGTTGATACAACCGTTAGCATCCCCGATCATGAAGCGTCACAAATCCCCGATCACAGACGACAAATGTAACAATCTCTATCAATTCCATAGTTTCACAAAGCATCCCTTTTCATATGCACTTTGATTTACAGATCATTCACTACCAAATTGTAAAAATACGGACTTGTAACAAGACTTGGACAAAACAATCACTTATGATTAGTTTGGACGAGTTATATTGCATATGTGGTATTTTGGGATAAACTGATGCATTATTGTTAGATGTGGCTCATATCGCGCGAGAATTGTTTTGTTTGATTAGAGCTTTCACATGAGTAATTTGGTTTGAGGTATTTCTTCACAAAAAGGGAAAAGGGTTTACAAGATGAGTTATTTCAAATAATTAACTACCCTTGAGGTGTTATTCCAACTAACTCATTTTAAAACATTATTTCAATTAATTCATATCCAAATTGTCATATTTGATCTTTTCGCTGCCAACCTAGTTATTAGCTAGTTATATAACATGTTTATTATTAGTTATATATATTGTTTCTACTTTTATATGTAGGAAGCTATCTATATGGAATTTTGAGAAAATGATCACAATGTAAGAACGTGCTTACAAAGGCGCACAATCTGATAATTAAATGCCTTATGGGTGATGGGTGAAAACGACTAACTTTGGTTCATATACCCCAGTGACATTCCTTTATTCTAATTTTGCATTTGGTGTTTGCAGGCGATACTGCTGAAAACCAACACATCGAAGCTCCTCTTCACTGCTCTGCAGTGCTTTCTGAGTGCCATCCAATCCTTGGTGGTTGATGTTGTCTTCGAGAGAGATCCCCATGAGTGGAGACTGGAGGCTTGGGTGGAACATGAGGCTTCTGGCTGTGATCTACTGTGTAATCATATAACTAAACTCATTAATTATTAACCAACTTTCCAAATTGTGTTTGATGTATTCTTTTTCTTCTTATGTAGGGAGTTGTGGTGACTGGATTAACATACTACTTGCAAGCCTGGTTTCCAAAGAAGAAAGGACCGGTGTTTCTAGCCATGTCCACCCCTCTGGCGTAGATCTTCACCAAGGTGATTTCTGCACTATTGGCTGATTTCATCAATGTCGGAAGGTACATGTATACCTTCTTTTTTCAAAAATTCAAGTTAGTCTGTTGAGTTCTTCACTTATCGTAACATTATATTTTGTTTGGTGATGTGTGTTCCAATAGTGTACTGGGTGGAGTGCTTTTGGTTGGTGGTCATTACTGTGTTTTGTTGGAGAAAGGTAGAGAAGAGAAGATGAAGAAGATGATTGCTGAGAAAAGTCAGGAGGGCTTAGAGCTTATAGAAGTTGATACAACCGTTAGCATCCCCGATCATGAAGCGTCACAAATCCAGGAGTCGAGTTGAGTATTAATGAGCCGAAGCAATAAACAGAGTCAAATTTGACATATGTTTCATAAGCCCAAACTGAAAAATGTTTAGATTGTCTCATATATATTTAACTCATATTGGGGGGTGTTTGAATACCTTTGGAAGAGGGACAAAACCATTATCGACAGGCTCTGCTTTGTTTTGTACCATTTCTAGAGTGAACTGTGAGCTTAATTTTTTTTTCTGTTTTATATTATAAGTCAATTATAGGCTACGATATTTGAAATGGAACTTAAGGCCACTTAGAGTCTATTTCTCGTAATAAGCTTGCCACAATCGGGTTTATCCACTCGTTATTTTGATCAAACTCAAATTATTATTGTCGCTCTCATCAAAATTTCCTAACAATTGGTTTTTCCTCTGCCCATACTAATAACATTTATTCTACCTATTGTCACAACAAGTGTGAAGAGACCATTTCATCCATGAAATATATTAAAAAAAGTACCCTAAAAGGATGAATTTATGATGAGTCCCATATAAGACAAGATTTATGTGCTAGTTTGGACAAGGAATATGTACTACAATGTTTCAGCATATTAAATCCCGTTGTTGTTCGCAGTAAGTGGTGCTCGTCAAAATATAATTATGTAATTGTATGAATCTTGTGTATTGTATTGTTGACTTTTCATTTTGTTTAAAACTTGACTTTTTTATTATGTGGTCGGTTTTCTTATGGTATGAAGATAAACACATCCTTGACCAATTTTCTGGCTCCGTCGCTGCAGTTGTAGATGAGTTTTCGATCACATGGCGGACTTTTAAGTTATATGTTACTTTGTGTAATTGAGTGAGTTGTTGGGTTCAAATAATTGGGGGGGGGGGGGGGGGGGGCAAAGGCATGCTCTTATTTCTTACATTAGGATGCATCAATGTTTGAGAATTGATAAGCATGTCCGAGAACATATACCACAACAAAGATAATAAAAATGTCCCTTGAAGATAAAGGCTCTCTGTTAGAATATCTATCATCATTCTCAAGTCGAGGGTTTACGTTAAAAAGTACAATAAAGACATTCTTTTCGTCGAATACAAATAGAGATGGGCGAGCACTACGAACATACATACGAAAATAATTTCCCGGGTTAGGATCTATTAACTTTCTAAAATCGATGACCTCGTAGGAGAACAAATGAAACGAAAGCCTACATATGTTTTTATTTTCCTCAATGAAGAGGAAGTGTGTCAGGAGAAGATTGCTAGAAAAATCGAAAACAGAGAAAACTTAGAAGACTGCAGTTATGAACATTCTTTGCTCATGATGCATCGTGGTTATGAAATCAGGAGTGTTATGAGAAACCATAAAATAGCATGCCAAATACAAATATTTTTTTATGCTCGATTAGAGGATGGAATCGTATTGGAGAAGACTACCCATATGTTGCAATGGATAGTGGACAAAAACGAGCCAACATGAGTACATGATAAGGATCATCTCCATTTTTAACTTGTTAGAAACATCGTGAAAATATGTACAATAGTGCGATGTGATTGATTTTTTTTTAAAAATTAATGGTTCGTATAAAAATATAAAAAAAATATGACCAACGACAACTAAGCATGGATCTAGGACTGACTTTTTGTCGAAATATTGATCTGTTCAGATAATAAAAGAACAAAAAATAAAATATCACCAACCACACTGACCATTAACAAATTTTCATGTTTATCCATTAACAAATAGTGATTAATTAGTTTGATATGAATATGTATACTTAGGAGTTGTGGTGACTGGAGTAACCTATTACTTGCAAGCATGGCTTCTAGAGAAGAAAGACTCCTTCCTTCTATCCATGTCCACCCCTTTGGCTTTCAGTTTGGGCTTCCGAAACAACTTTCAAACCTAGGGCTCGAAACTAAACATCAGTATCCCACATATAAAAAAGGTAGACTTATCAACTCAAAACTCTAACCCAATAAAAGGATTCATTACTCTTAGCCCATAACGTAAGGTAAGGTAAAGGTTAAGTGAACATATGTTGTTACAAGTCCGTATGTTTACAATTTTGTAGTGATCAATTAGTTGAAAATCAAAGTGCCTATGAAAAGGAATGCTTTTAGGGTGCAACTATGCAATTAATAGAGATTGTTACATATGTCGTCTTTGACTAGTTTGTTGCTCCGACCTGGAACCTCTACTCGATCCTTATGGTTGTTAACACGAGATCTTAAAATGGAGGAGATGGTTTCCTACCCCTTTTTCTTTAGAAAAACTCCAATCATTCCCATTTCCCTTCCATGCATGAGTTGCATGTAGATGATGTTAAGATCTTAATTTCCCCATCAAAACTCAACTCGATTCATTGGCTTGTGGCATTTGGTGATTGGGGATGCTAATGATTGTAACAACTTGTGTAAGCTCCAAGCTATGCTTTTCCACTTGTGTAGTCTTCATCTTCTCATCAATATTTTCAGCAATCATCATCTTTTCTTCTTTGCCTTTTGCCCATAGAACACTATAAAGTCCTCCAACTAACAACATTCCACCCAATACACTATGGAAACACATCACCAACAAGAATCATCTTAAATTGAATTCATGAGATGGTAGAATTCTACCATATATGCCTCAACAACTAGCTAGAGTTATACATAGATACACAGTCATTATTCGATCTCTTTTAGTTTTTGATAGGTGACTAATGTACGTTAAGTATTCTGATTATCCTCATTGATAGTTATATCCAAGGGTGGTAGATTCAGCATTATGATAATCCATTAACAAAACTATATGAGAACAACTAGACTTGAAATTTGCATTAGCATCATCGAAATTCGTCAACACAACTCCACTTAATCTATAGAGATCATGATATTATAATGTAGACGTGATTCATCTAACTAAATTGAATTGTTGAGAAAATAAGAAAAAGGATGATATATAAGTATATACCTTCCAAGGTTGATGAAGTCGCCTAGTATTGCAGAAAACAACATTGTGAAGATCAAAGCCAAAGGAGTTGACATGGCTAAAAAGACTGGACCTTTCTTCTCTAGAACCCATGCTTGCAAATAATATGTCACGCCAGTCACCACAACTCCCTAGAGAGACAAATATATCAAACACAAATGGGAAAATTAATGATTTATGTGGTAATAATTATGAGTTTAGGTATGATTACACAATAAGTGACAGCCATGAGTCTCATATTCCAGCCGAGCTTCCACTCCTGGGGATTTCTCTCAATGGCAACTGCAACCACTAAGGACTGAATCGAACTCAGAAAGCATTGGAGAGCTGTGAATAGAAGCTTTGATGGGTAGCTTTTCAGAAGTATTGCCTAGAACACCAAATGAAAATTTGAAGGAGGAAAAAGGTGTGTCAATGGACATATGAACCAAATTAGGCGAGAGTATTATTAATATGGGTGAACTATTGGAAATTCCCTACGACAAAAACAACCATAATCAAACAAATATAGCTAGTGATTCTATAGAAAGGTAGAAAGCTAGCTAGTACCTACCTGAAAGACGAGCCAGAAGCCCCAGCTGAGGTTGGAGAAGAGCATCAAGAAACAACCTTTCACCCATGTGTTCTTATGAGAAGAGCTAGCGTGTTGAGATCTAAGGTCATGTCCATGGAGGTCATCATGTTTAAAGAGGGACAAAACCTTGAAATGGGGGCCTTTGTAGAAAGCAAGAACTGCTACTCCTCCCATGCATATCACTATCCCAGCTAGCTTTGACATCCCTGATTTTGTCCTCACCTTCAATGTCTCCATTCTGTGTGGGGTAATAAATATAGAGCACACAAAACAAACTTAGAACACATTGATCATTTAGCTAGTTAACATGTTTATGATTGGTTATATTGTCTCTACTTTTATATGTAGGAAGCTATCTATAAGGAATTTTTCGAAAATGGTCACAACCCAATTTGTATGAACGTGCTTATAAAGGCGCACAATCTAATAATTAAACGCCTTGTTAGCGTTATAATCGGTTTGATCCATATATGCTAAAGCTTTCTCAACTGATTAGGGGTGGCTATACGGTCCGGTCCGGTTAAATTGGCCCAAATTGATCCGGTCCAGTCCGGTTTTTTTGAAAATATAAGGACCGAAGATTGGATTGGATACAGTCCGGTCTTGATCCGGTCCGGTTTTAACCCGGTCCGGTCCCAATTCGGTTTTGATTTTATATTGAGAATGTGGGAATTTGAGTGGCCTAAGGCCTAAAAGGGTGAGGAGTTGGTTAAGTTTTGTACTAAATGCAAAGGTTTGTGACCATTTATGTAAATTACCCTTAAGTTTTGGGTGTTGAGCTCTCTTATCCGGTCTTTATCCGGTTTTTTACCTCAAATCTAAGCCCAAAGATTGGATTGGATTGTTTACTATCCGGTCCCGGTCCGGTCTCGGTCCAGGTTATACGGTCCGGTTTCCGGTTTTTCATCCGGTCCCGGTCCAAATAGCCAGCCCTACAACTGATTGTAAAAGACAAGAGAGGAAGAAGAAGATTTAGTTTCCTTCTCTAGTGGGAAAAGAGAGATGGAATTGAGGACCACATGAATAAGATTTGATTGAAAGAGGACATTAACCCTTCATCAGAAAGAAAAAGTTGGGAAAGGATGGAACCAAAAGAAAACCATGTGAATTATCAATTATGACGTTTTGTATTCAATCACGTGGGTCGAAATTGGTATACGTACCATCAATGCATAGCAGACTTTATACTATTAGCAGATGATTTTTGTACATAATTTGTCAAAGTTTTCAAATGAACTTATCATCAATGTGAAATATTGTTTACAAATGTGTTTTCATAAATACGTCAACAAAAAGGAGATCGTAAATTATGTATAGTGATTCACATTGTAAACATAAAGTGTAGTGTACCATAAACCGGCTATGTATCATATGCTGTATGACTTAGTTCGGATTTAAAACCAACGTGGTACACTACCCAAGTGACCATTTATTACCACTACTAGTACACAAGATCTTTCGAGACTAACATTTATAAGCTTCCTGTCACTATAAATGCAAACATGATAATGTTATATAAATTAGTCCCCATACCAAACCGTCCAAAATTAAACACGTTTGTATCCACAATTCTGATATTGCGGCAGGCAGTGATGATGGCATCATGATTTCTTACGACAAACAATAAAAATTTTAACTCCGATATGTAAATGTGACCGATGGTGGTTGTCGTGATAGTGTTGAAATTAACATGTTGGAGTACGTATAGTAGCATCAGACCGTTTATATCGTGCGAGGGCACAATCCAGCAATATCAATCTAACCATTTCATAAAATACATGCAACCACAGGGGGAAAAAGGATGGTGCAATGAGAAGCTAAGGTACAAAAAAAATTGATGATCCTAAGCAATATGTTCATAAAATAATATGGATCATTTTTCGTTTGACTTATATAGCTAATTATTAATTATAGAAGAGAGTAGTAGAAAGTGCAAAAGTATGTTTTAGATTAATTGGTTCCAAGTGATGAGCGACTTTAGCTAAAGTGTCAACTTTATCTTTTCTATATAGCTAATTAGTTTAAAGAGCATAAATACCCACCAGACTATATATATGCATATCCAAGTAACAATGAAATTTAATTAAATTACCCAAATAGAAGAGCCATGAAGAACGTAATGGCTGGCAGGGTATTAACAGAAGCAGCACCCAAAGTGGCTGAAGTGTAGATCAAAGCTATCCCATTGACGTTCAAGCTCAACGTTATCCTGCACCATACATCGCGTCAAAACGCGGTATAACAATCCAACGATATCAGTATGTGTCAATCTGTCCATGGTTACCATATACAATAATATCTTAATTCCCTTTTCGGACTTCATAATTTTTTAACAAAATTAGAAACAAACATATTCATTTTACCCGAAGAGGGAGAGGGCGAAGATTTTGCAGAAGGTGGGCAGGGAGAGCGGCGGCGCGTGCTTCCTGTTCGCCGCCGGCCGAGGTTTGGAACATTAGAGAAGTTATAATTAATATCAATGAAATGAATAAGAGTCGAGGTAGCAAAATGGGAATAATATTTGTGTATTTATACCATTCGAGGAAAAGGGCGAGAGGGACGACGAGGGCGGCGGCCAAGGCCTGCCGGTAGAAGACGAAGATGGAAGTCTTGAAGCCGCCGTCGAGCGCCGCCTTGGAGAGGAGGAACATTCCGGCGTAGATCAGTTGTATCAGCACCACCGCTCCATACGCCTTCTTGCCGTCATCGAACTTCGCCGTCGGTGAAGCTCCTCCCATAATGAAAATTAAAGCTTTATTATTGTTTTGGTGTGTGTTGGAGAAGAAGTAGCTAGGCTTTGGTTTATGTGTATGATGGTTTAATTTGTCAAGTTGTGGATGTGTTGTGTGTTTGATGAAGAGTCCACTCATTTATATATATGTGTTGAAGATTGATTGGTAATTGGTATAGAGAGATCGAGATATCCCAACTTAATTTGACATATTAATTGTTTGATTCGATGTGACTATTTGATTTCAATCAAAATGACATGTGAACTATTTCCCATTTGTGTTTATAGAGAGTGTAGTTTTGTGACACGGCAAGTTATCTATAATCAAGTCGATAAGATCAAGTTTACGTTGTCGATGTTTATACTTTTTGTTTAGCAATTCTGTCCTGATCAATATGAGGTACTCGGTTTATGTGTATGCGATCATGCGAGCGATAGTATTCACGCGTAATAGTTAAGAGGTATTATAACATTGTTTTTGCACATTTCACGCTTATAAAGAACTGACACGATCATGAGCGTGCGGTAAATGAGGTTTCTTAGGCTAACCACAAGGTATTGCTAAAAAAAATATATATATGTATATAAACATGTGGAACTAGAGTTCAAATCGATCCTTTTATCAAAATTTATGACTCCATTATTGAGTTACGAATAATAAATCAAACTATGTGTGTTCCTCCAAATCTTATAAACAGGTCGAACCCAGCGATTCAGATGCATATAATTTTGGTCATATGGCATATGCTTTCGAGAACGATTCATTATGGCCAAAACGTCTTGTTAAAGAAAAAAAAAAGATACTTTACCATCACAATGCCTCTTTTGACTCATTTTCCAAATGTGGCTGGGTAGATTCGTTCGGCACTTTGGAATGAACCATCAAATTAAAACACAAACCATAAAAATAAAAAATCAAACAATCTTATTAACATATTTTTGGGTTTATCATCGCCATATCCAAAGAAGTCAAAATGGAGGACAAAAAAAAAATATCTAGTCAAAATTGTCTTTAATGAAGCGATTATAGTAAAGCCATTTTCAAGTGGGGATGAGCTTCCTAAGGTTGTGTTCGATATTTTCCTAGTATTGGCATGTTGGAGCCGTCCCATGAAGTTCAATGACCAGCAACAGATACAGGAGGTTATTGTACTGGAAAAAATTATGACCTGGTATCGGAGATAGTTTGTATTTGAGTTCACATGTTTACATCCTAATAACTGTCAATATTAATCTCTGTCTTAAAATACATGATATGTCGGGTATGTACAAAATTACGAATAACCGACTTCTCGAGCGTGCTCCTCTAAATCTTATGAACCGCGGTCGAACCAACCGAATTGGATTTGGATGGTTTTGGTCTAGGGACCAATGCCTTGCAACCTTAGAACCTTGATCCATAGAATATAGTATTCATACAATACACGCATTTTGAATCACTAAATGGACATTCTTGTTGTACCCGTAGGAAATAAATGCACAATCAATGAAAGAAGAAAAAAGGAGGATATCGCCAGCCGAATTTCCTCCAGAATTGCTCAACCAAGAGAACATGAGCCACGTCTCGCGGTTGTAAAATGTCTTGCTCTTGAGTTATTTATATAACATCTATCTTCTTAATGTGAGTATTTGGTGGTATATGGTATAGTTTGGGTCAAAGGCGAATCATAACATTGAAGGCTCGCCTCCCACCTCAACTACGGTCCAACCGTGATTTGAAAAGGGAAAACACAATTCCCTTTCAATGTTGATGGAACTATATTGAAAGGTCTTCAATTGATTTTCTTGATTTCTAGTTTGAGATGAAAATTACCATAAAGCGAGACAAAAGCACGTTCATGATGATGATGTGCTGATTAAGTAACGATTCATTATTATTCAACCACCGTTTGAAATATGTTTCCTTTTGCTTTTTTCTTCCCCGCTTTCCTTAAAGCCAACCATAATAATGCATACACAAATATAGATCATGTTTATCAGGAATCGTCGATGAAATTTGGGACCATGCTTGCTTTGTCTATCTCTTTCAATCATTTGAGTGACTGGTACGCATCTGTAACACAATCCTATGATGTTTTCATTGTCGATATAGTGGGTTGATTCTTAATATGATATCAAGGTCTTTATTAGTATGAAGTACTAGTTCGTCCTAATAATAATCGATTGAGTTCTCTTGTCCCTATCAGGGTTGTCGTACATGGACTTTCATAGACATGGCTCAAGAGAGTTTAAGCCAGAGATAAAAAAAAAAAATTTAGATAAGGGTGATATAGATTTCATTTATTGTCATTAAGGTACTACTTAAGGGATTTGAACCTAGGACCTCCAGGTTCTAGACTAGTAGTATTACCACTAGGCCAAGCTCTTGTTCGTTAAGCCAGAGAATTAAAAGTGATGAGCTTTATGTATGGACCCTAATTAAGGAAGACCATCCCAAATGAAAATGATTATATATTACGTACAACTACTACACAAATTGAAGAAGAAAAATATCCGAAAGACTAAGAGGTCGCCTATAAGGCTCATCCACTTGTCCACTATCTACCACGAATCATAGGATCAGGAAGGCCTAAAAGAAGGAAATTAAAAATGGAAGTCTTGCTTGAAAATAACACAATGGCTTTCAATAGAGAGAGATGAGTGCCCTTTATTTCCAAACTGAGTGATTGAATATGGTTGGAAATGTGAATATGGTTGGAAATGTGATTGAATATGGTTGCATTCCTCACCATGAATCAAAGGAAGGCCTAAAAGAAGGAAAAACAAGTCTGGCTTAAGATATCACAATCGCTTTCGACAGAGATATATACGAGTGGCTTTCTTTTCCAAGTGAGTGATTCAATGCGGTTGGAAACGTGAATACGTTTGAAAGTTCGCGATCTAGTTCACGACTCGAAGGATATAGGAATTCCGAAAAGAAGGGCGGAAAATGTAGTCTTGCTTAAGAGATCGAAATCGTTTCCAATAGAGAGACGAGTAACTCTTGCTTCCAATTGAGTGATTGAATGTGGTTGGAAATCTGAATAGGTCTGAAAAAGAGCGACCTAGTTTACAACTTGACGAATCCACTTATCTGCATTCCTCACCGCGAATCTTAGTAAGGCCGAAAAGAAGGAAAGAGAAGTATTGCTTAGGAGATGCACAATCGTTTTCGATAGAGAGAGATGAGCAAGTGACTTTTGTTTCCAAGTGAGTGATTTAATATTGATGGCAAACTTTCAAACTTTTAGGACCCCAAATCGCTTTCAATGTGTCACTTCTATCAACTACACGTTACATGCATGCTATTACTATATACATGTAAACGCTTCCATTTTCCGACGAAAGGGACGGTCTCTTTTTGGCGGCCGGCCGGTCAATTCTCCGGTCATTTATTAGCTAGCTGGTGATGCCCAGTTGGCTTGATCTTGAGTTGTGGGAGAGTCGAACTTGAAGAGGACGTCGCCTTAGAAAGAAATATCTCATCGGCTCATTAATCACATGTTTGACGTATTTACGGTTTGTTTGCCTGTGCTGCTAGTTAATTTTACTCGGTTCGAATTGGGTACATCGATAGAGATGACAACACTCTTCATATCAGGCATAATTACATCCTCGTATCTCAAATTGCTATTTTCGAATATAACTGTCGAACACCAATTCCGAAACAAAACAAAAAAATCTTAATGAGGAGGTATTGATTTCGAATATAGCTGGAGAATGTAAGGAGACAAAATTGGCAGCTGAATTGAAATATTTATAAATATTCATAGAAATTTTGAGCGTGGCAATTCGTCCCGGGATGAGATGGAGATATGAAAAGATTGACAACGACGAATATGTCATTAGCATGACACACCTGAATACAATCTCAATTCATCTCTATGCCACTCTTATTTTTGTTATTCGAAGTAAGCTAATTTATGGTGGTTGGTCCGCATCACTCATTCAAATCAAGATAGTACTAGAGCCACAGTCTGACTCTCGAAATAAACTCTCGACTATATTTATTGTGGTAATTAAGTTCATTATCTAACACCACATGCATAATGCATTACCCAACCCAATAACAACAGCTGGAAAAGAGGAGGAAGTTTGTTAGAGAAGACTGTTAGACAAATCGGGGAAAAAATAGAATACTTAGAAGACTGTCGTTATGACCAAACTTGATATGAGAAGATTGACGAGGTATGTGTCACTAGCATGACAGATTTGCAGACCGGCTCTCAAAATATAGTCTCACTTCATCCATGTCACTCTTATTTATGTTATTTGAACGAAACGGACTCATAAGTGGTTGGTCAACATGAATCATATACATATCTAACAGGTGTTAGAGCTGCAAATCAAACTGGCTCACAAAACACATTCTAAACATTTTTTTCGGTATGCATGAGCTTATAGACCCTCTCCTGCATATCGAATCTATCCTTCAATAGGACAATATTAATGTATCCGTCCCTAAGCATTATACAGGCAATGTCTCCCATTAGGTAAGTTCGGATTGGTTTGGTTTTGGTTATAGTTTGGTTGAGGTTATTACAATACTTATATGGTTCACAATTATTTTTTTAAACTTAGTGCACAAATAATATGAATGTTATTTGTTTAATGTGACACAAACTATCACTCAGAATAATAGATAATTAAGTCTCACCTTTTAGATGAAATTGTTCAAATAATTTTGATGAGATTGTTGTGTTTATTTATGTTCCATTACATCCCTAACTTTTTGTATGTGTTATCTTTTCTATTAAAAGCAAAAGACAAAAGTGATATTTATTGTTTATTGTTATATAACTGCATCTGCATACATTACACCTAAAAACATAGGTGTAGCCTAGAGTCGCCCATATTGTCTAATCATTTGAGAAATAGTAATGTTTCAAATACGTCTAGGGTAATGATTATTTATTAGTCAAACCTTTTCGTATTTTTTTATTAGTCAAATATATCGAAATACTAAGAATTAGTCAAATGTTAACTTATAGTTAGCAATTTTGTTAGTAATATTGATTTGGCAACATGATACTGACTTGGAAGAGACACTTGAAAATCAACATTCCAAAATTTTAGTATTTTAACTAAGAAAAGAGTTACAAAATTATTAACGATACCGTAAAAATGGCTAATATTTTGATGCATTACGAAAGAGTTGGCTAATTAATAGCATTTTAATAGATTTGGATACTATAAAAGAATCTAAAAAAAGTTTGAATAAAAAATAGAAATTACTCATTATTCTATTTTAATTATTCTTCTTGATGCCAAAACAAAGGATCCTTCTTTTAAAAGGAATAACTTAAGCATTGACTTTGGCAGTATCATTGGCTTGATTATGAGTGGCAATTGTAACAACTCGTTTAAGCTCCAATGAGCCGTCTTGTTCTTCCAATTTTGGGATAATCTTCTTCTCATTGATCTCCATCTTAATTATCTCCTCTTCTTTGACTTTTGCCCATAAAACACTATAGAGCCCTCCTGCCAACAACACTCCCCCCAAAATACTATATATATACAAACATCATCAAAGCCACAAAACAAACAAACAAAATTAGGTTGACTTAAAGAACTATAATTATTAAACTATGATTAATAAATTAAACATGATGATTAGCTAAGTACCTTCCAAGGTCGATGAAGTCGCACAAAATCGCAGAGCACATCATTGTGAAGAGGAAAGCCAAAGGAGTGGACATGGCTAGAAAGACTGGACCTTTCTTCTCTAGAACCCATGCTTGCAAATAATAGGTTACTCCAGTCACCACAACTCCCTAAGTATACACATTCACATCAAACTAGTTAATCACTATTTATTAATTGATAAACATGAAAATTATACCAATAATTACGTACACAATAAACCACAGCTACTAGTTTCATGTCCCAGCCAAGTTTCCACTCATTAGGATCTCTTTCAATAATGATTGCAACAACAAATGACTGAATTGAAGCCAGAGCACATTGAAGAGCCGTGAACAGAAGCTTTGGTGGATAACTCTTTTGAAGTCTTGCCTATAAAAAAAACAGAATGTAAGTTGGTTGAGAAATTTATATGAGTAGAATCGCGTATCATAATAGTAATTGTTATGATAGTAATTGTTATGAGAAACTTCAATTACCACATTGGAAATATAAAGGAAAAAATCCTTGTATATAAGTGTCCATACCATATTGAAAATACAAGGGAAGGAACTTTTGTATATTAGTGTCCACCAAGCTCATTTGTACGAGGCTTTTAGGAGAGAAAATTCAAAAGTAAAACCGTGCGAGTTTGGCCCAAAGCGGACAATATCGTACAGTAATACTACTCAAAAGTTACTTCATATTGCTCGCACTTAGTTGTTTTAGTCGGTGACAAAGTCAGAATTTAAAGTGAGATGGAGTATAAATGAATAACCACAGTAGTATGTTGAAAATGAGAGTTTTGAGTTTTGAAAACTTTTAGCTTTATGGTAGATTTGCTCCATGTATGAATTTGAAAGAGTCTACTTTTTGTGTAGTTAATTCTTTAATCATAAATTTATAACTTCTTGTTGAGTGAGTACGAAAGATTTGTCTTCCCTCAGCCAAATCTCAAATAAAAATTGAAGATTTACATTTACTAATTTGTGAGGTCCATGGATTTAGATCTAAAAGGTCCAAATTTGTAGGCCCCATGAATCGGCTTTCCACTTTTCTTTTCCTTAGTTGCTCGTCTCATAGTTCGAACCCAAAGTGTGATGGAGGTTTTTCATCCTCACATAGTCACATTAACACTAGGATAACCCTTTGAGGTTAGCTTTCCATTTTTTGACTCAACAAAGAATGGAGTTTTTCTAAATCCATCATCCAGATCCAACAAGAAAACGACCTCTATATCGATGTCATCTTGGATCGATGATGACGAACTAATCATATCATACCGACCTGACACTTTTCAATGTCGGTTTACCATATGATTTACATTGCACAACCTAAAATCGAACATTTGCAACTTAGTACTCGCTCTACACGCAACTCCACCACCGACTTTAACAACATATATATATACACACACTAAAAATGTTTGGAATATTATATATGGGTACCTGAAAAACAAGCCAAACCCCCCAAGTGAAGCTAGATGAGACCATCAAGGAACAACCTTTGATCCATGTTTCATGAGATCGAAGATGTTGATTTTGCCCATGATGGGAATGATCAAAGAGGCAGAAGATCTTGAAATGGGGGCCTTCATAGAAAGCTAGAGATGCCACTCCAACCATGCACGTAACTATTCCTACTAGTTTTGCCTTGCCCGATTTGCTCCCAATCCTCAATGTTTCAGCTCTGCGTCCATAGATTGATCATATATCACTTTTGTAAATCCATATATACAATTGTACGTAGGTAATTGAAGTGAAAGGCTCTTCGATAATACATTACCGGAGGAGGAGGGCCAAGAAGAAAGTCACGACGGGGAGGGAATTAATGGAAGCCGCGGCCAAGGTGGCGGAGGTGTAAAGCAAGCCGAAGCCATTGAGGTTCAACGCCAATGTTATCCTGCACATATAGTACGATAGTATATGTCAGTACTCATGCATGCAAAACTTCAAGTCTCTGAATTGACTTACGCGCTTTTATGATCCATGCACCGATAGCATGTATAGAAATCGAATAATGTATAAGTCTTTGTTATGACATTATCTCAACAACTAGAATTATGGGTGCCGGTTGGTTTTTGAACATGCACACGAGTGTCTAGTTTCAACAGTAAAAAACTTAATTAGGTTTATGTAGGTTAAGTTGAGTAGTTGATAAAAATTACCCGACGAGAGCAAGCACGAAAATCTTGCTGAAGGTGAGCAGCGAAAGCGGTGGAGCATGCTTCCTGTAGTTCATCAAAACCCAAACAAGAAAAATCATAAGATGCATGCACTATATGAGTTTAGGTCTATTATAAACGGTTGATGTTAGCATAAGGTATAGATGTTGTGACCGTATGTGTTGAATTTCGTTTGAAATAGTCTATGTACGAGAATACTGGTCGAATATGTTTTTGGTTCGCTTTAAACAATTCGAGTAATTAAACTGAACTGATCCTTGAGAAGATGTAGATATGATAAACACATGTGTTGATTCTCGTTTGAAATACACTATGTAACGATATGTTTTTGGATCGCTTTAAACAACTTGAGTAATCGTAAAGTGGATGAATAGGAAGGTATAGGGAAGAGGTCTATGCACCATTCGAGGAAGAGGGCAAGAGGAGCAAGGATGACGGTGGCGAAGGCTTGCCGGTAGAACACCAAAATGGCAGGGTTCAAGCCGCCGTCGAACGCCGCCTTCGAGACCAAGAACATTCCGGCGTAGATCAGCCGTGTTAATACCACGGCTCCGTACGCCTTCTTCGTGTCGTCGTTGCACCACGACCAAAACGACGCCGTCTTTGAAGCTCCTCCCCTTTCTTCTCCTCCACCCATATTTACTTGCATAATAACTGTATTGGACAGTCAGACGTACTGCGGCGCATCTTTGTATTTATAGTATTAACTTTGTCGTCGACAAGGTTTTGTTTTTGTTTTTTTTCCGGTTCAAGTGGAGGCAAGGCAATTTCCTCGTCGTCGATGGATTTGAGAACACGAGCGGTTGAAGGCTCCGTCGATTGCATTTATGTGTTGTTCATCGATCGGTCGGAATTTCCTTTTGTCGTAGGTTGAGGCCAGTGTTTAGAAGAGCTTTTCTTGTTTTAGGAATAAAGCCGGGGTTAAATACCTTTATAATTTTTTTTTTTAATTAAGAAAAAAGTGGAAAAGTGTTTTTTTATAAGATAATCTTGTATTTGACAAAGATAATCTTGTATTTAGCAAATGTATTCTTGTTTAGAATACTTTCGTTTCATTTATGTTCTGTTAAACTAAAATAATTGGAAAATACTATCATTGAATATAAAAGAGACCCAATAAGATTCATTTTCATTGTTCTTTTATTTTTAGTTATATTTTATATTAACCAAACACTCCACTATTTATGAAAAATACGTTATTTAAAAACCAAACTACATATTGCCTTCTCCTTCTAGGTAAAGAAACCAGATCATATATGTTTGGTTGTAATAATTCAAGTTATTTATGAGTTTGAAATTTGCATAGGTCTAATCAGGGTTAAGAAAATATAATTTCTCGTACGCCTAGGCAGACCTGAGCGCTAAGCAGTAACAAAACGTCTCTCCTAGATTGTAGGCGGACAATTAGGCGTTCATAATGCCTAGGTACCTTCTTAGATGGAGCTAGGCATAATTAATTGGCGTGAGACATGATTAACTGAAGTGAGGTATTCTTAAGCGTGTTGAGAAAACAAGGATTAAAACAATTTGTAGCTAATCTTTCCAAAACGACGCCATCCCCAACTATTATATATTCGACTCGATAGACTCTTTATGCTCTTCACCATTGTCGACTACAGACCATCCACAACCTACAATTTCTATAAACTTGTGATTCTAGGAAATCATAACATATTTTACTAGTTGTTGAGGGTTAGTTTAGTTATTAATCATTTGAAATTGAATTCAAGGGAAAAATTGTTAATACTATATTGAAAATTGTTATTTTCGCTAATACGTGTAAGCGTTGCAGAGACACCGCTTAGCGTGCTAGGCACTTATTATATATTGTGCATTTGTGCTTGAATCAAATGTTAATATTGGAGATCGTGGAGATTTGGACACACTGGCCTTTGTTCAAACCAGTTATGAGGTCATGTCATAAATAGTTTGGTTTCAATAACTTGAGTTATAAGAAACAGTTGGTTTATGACATACACGATCTTATAAATATTTATTTATTGGTTTTAATTATTTAATCATGTGTGAAAACAAATATTGATAATTGGTAGGATGAAGGACTATGAAGCCCTCGCTAATATCTTAATGATCTTTAATTTCTAATTTTCCTCACCGTAATTTCTAGTTTCGCCATCCAATGGTCATACATATGTATTAGAAAAGAAAAGTCAAATGTCTTGGTTTTCAGCTACCAACATTTCTAAACTAAAGAGGACATCGTGTATGCGGTTGGCGGCGGCTAAACTAAAAGAAAGCAATTCTATTAAAATTATTTTCATCGTCACAATATATCCAATTAACAACTGTCTAGAGCTCAAAGATAAACTATATGAAGAAGTCAAAATCCAGGACAATGACCGGAGAACAAAAACATCTTGCCAAAATTGTTGTGATTAGCCGATTACAGCAAAGCTAATCCATACTTTAGTCATTGGCCTGAAAGTGAAAGGGGATAGAAAAAGGCAGGCCGCCAATCTATACCGATGGAGATACTTAAGGCAGTCTTGTTTGGAGGGTTATTTCAATGAGAAATTTGAGTCTAAATTAACTCATTTGAGTCTAAATTAACTCATTTGATCCCAAAATACTCACATATGCAAAATAACTCATCCAAACTAATCATAAGTAATCATTTTGACCAAGTCTTTGTTTCCCGATTTCTATGATTGTTTTAATGAGATTGCTACAACTCTTATATTTCTTTCATTGTTTTTCTTTTTCTTTTTTCCTTACAAGATACATCAATTGTTTGGTTGATGCGACGGAAATAATCATTCAAAATGAATGATTGTACAATTTCAGCTGAAACTGATGTGACGATTTAATTTAGTTGATATAATTTTTTTTCTAGCTATCTCCTCCAAAAAGATGACAAATTGCATTTTCGTTAAAAGTGGATTTTCTCTTTACTTATTAAAAACACAACTACATTTATCAAATGTTGTAATGTGCAATAGATCAAATTCATAGATACAATGCATATATTGGTCATAATATATAAGACAAACCAAACATTTTTCAGTTTGGGCTTCTATAAAAACTTTCGTAGTGTGTGGGCCAAAATGAATCTAACGTAACAAATCTAGCCCTCGAAACTAAACAGCAGTATCGCACATATCAAAAGGTAGACTAAGCGGCCCAAAACTCTAACTCGATAAAAGGATTCATTACTCTTAGTCCATAAGGTAAAGTAGAGGTGAAGTGAACATATGCTGTTATAGCTCCGTACCTTTACAAATTTCATAGTGATCGATGTTAAAATGTTATTTTTCCTTGAAGCATGACTTGTAGACGATGTTAAAATGTTATTTTTCCCATCAAAATTCAACTCGGCTCATTGGCTTGTGGCGCTTGATGTTCGGGGATGCTAATGATTGTAACAACTTGTTTAAGCTCTAAGCTCTCCTTTCCGCTTGTTAAATCTTCTTCCCCATCAAAATTCAACTCGACTCATTGGCTTGTGGCGCTTGATGTTCGGGGATGCTAATGATTGTAACAACTTGTTTAAGCTCTAAGCTCTCCTTTTCCACTTGTGAAATCTTCATGTTCTCGTCACTATTCTCAACAATCATCATATTTTCTTCTTTGCCTTTTGCCCATAGAACACTGTAAAGTCCTCCAACCAACAACACTCCACCCAATACACTATGGAAACACATCACCAAACAATAACAGACAATGTTAAATTGGAGTCATAAGTTGGTAAAGATTCTACGATTTATGCCTCAATAACAAGCTAGAGTTATATATAAACACACACTTATTTCAATATGTTCCAATTTTTTTATAGGTAATCAACTTATGTCAGAGCCTGATCATCCTCAAAGATTCTTATGTCAAAGGTGGTTGATTCAATGCTTTAGTGATCCATTATAAATTGTATGAGAATTAGTGTGACTAGACTTGAAATTTGCATTAGCACATATCATCGACATCCATAAACGCAACTCCGGTTAATACATATATATTTTGATATTATATTGATGACGTGATCATCCTACTAATTTGGATTGTTGGGAAAAGAAGGAAAGAGGATGATGTATAACTATATACCTTCCAAGGTTGATGAAGTCACTTAGTAGTGCAGAAAACAACATTGTGAAGATCAAAGCCAAAGGAGTCGACATGGCAAGAAAGACTGGACCTTTCTTCTCCAGAACCCATGCTTGCAAGTAATACGTCACTCCAGTCACCACAACTCCCTACATAGATGAAGGGGGAAAAACAACTACATGAAACACAAATTAGAAAATTAAGACATAATAATGTGATTATATTGTAATAATTATGAGTTTAGGTATGCATGATTACACAATAAGTGACAGCCACAAGTCTCATATTCCAACCAAGCTTCCACTCCTGGGGATTTCTCTCAATGGCAACTGCAACCACTAAGGACTGAATCGAACTTAGAAAGCATTGAAGAGCTGTGAAGAGAAGCTTCGATGGGTAGCTTTTCAGAAGTATTGCCTACAACACCAGATGAAAATTTGAAAGGGGGAAAAGGTATGTCAATGGACATATGAACCAAAGTTGACAATTTTTCACCCAACTAAGCCCGGGACAAACCCTACCCGACCCGACCCAAACTAACCTAACCATAATCATTATGGTGTGACCCATCACCCACCATACCCCAATTTGTCTAGCATGTGAATTCTCATCGTCCAATCATGTTTGACCCGTAATTATATTACGTGTGCGATCATACTAACACTAATGCACTAAATCTCATCAGGATTCTTAAGTTAAACGTGATTATGCCAGAGTATAAATTAATATGGATGAGCTATAGGAAAGTCATATATCTATCTATTTTGTGTGACCAAAAAAAATATATATCTATTTTGTACCCTTCATATAAACCCAATCTAGCTATTACGTTGCACGTGTCCCTACCACAAACAAATATAGATAGTGATTCTATAGAAAGGTAGATAGCTAGTTGTTACCTACCTGAAAGACGAGCCAGAAGCCCCAGCTAAGGTTGGAGAAGAGCATCAAGAAACAACCTTTGACCCATGTGTTATGAGAAGAGCTAGGGTTTTGATGTGGTCTAAGGTCATGTCCATGGAGGTCATCATGTTTAATGAGAGACAAGACCTTAAAATGGGGGCCTTTGTAGAAAGCAAGAACTGCCACTCCTCCCATGCATATCAATATCCCAGCTAGCTTTGCCATCCCTGGTTTTGTCCTCACCTTCAATGTCTCCATTCTATGTTGGGTATAGAGTACACAAAACTAACTTAGTTTAGAACATAGTCATTAGCTAGTTAATTAACATGTTTATGATTGGTTATATCGTTTATAATTTATATATATGAAGTTATCTATATGTAATTTTGTTAAAATGGTTACAACTCAATTTATAAGAACGAACGTGCTCAGAGAGACTCGCAGTCGGATAGTTAAATGCTTTGGGGGAACACCTTATTGTAAAAGACGAGAGAAGAGGAAGAAGATTTTGTTTCCTTCTGTCGAGGGAAAAGAGAGATGCAATTGAGGACCACGTGAATAAGATTGATTGAAAGAGGAGACACTCTAACCCTTCATGAGAATGAGAAAGTCAGAAAATGGATGGAAACTAGCTAGAAGAAAATCATGTGAACGACGTTTAATTTGTATTTCAATCACGTGGATCAAAATCGATATACCCTATATCTCGGTGCATATCATACTTTATACTATTTGTAGACGATTTTTAATACATAATTCGTAAGGATTCACATCGTATACATTTGTACTACTTATGATTTGAAACCAATTTGGTGCACCGCCCTCGCTATAACATTTATAGCTTTCATGTCACATAAATGCAAACATGATGATAATGTTATAGAGAGTTCCAATACCAACCAAACCGCCCATATTAAATCCACGTCCTGAAATTGCCGCCGGCGATGATGATGCCATCATGATTTCTGCCGATGCATGTACTTTTCTTTTGGTTATCGTTTCTATAAACCCTGAATTTTTACTCCGATGTAAAAGCGATCGATGACGGTTGTATGTTAATCCATATATGTAAAACAATGGCAAAATTGTTGCTACCATTGCAATCACATGGGGAAAAGATGGTGTAATGAGAAGGAACAAAAAAAAAATTGAGGGCATCGTCATAGACATCCGATAAAATTAGAACAATCGGTATCGATTTTTGTTTGACTTATAGGTTATTAATTAATGATAGAAGAGAGTAAAAAATGCTAAGGAAGTGTAGATTATCCTTCGAACTGATGAGCGACTTTACATAAAGTTTATAACTTTAGCTTTAGTATATAGCTAATTAAGTTAAAAGAGCATCTACATGTATATATCCACCAGAAAATGCATATTATCAAGTAATAAATAAATAAATAATTACCCAAATAGAAGAGCCAAGAAGAACGTAATGGCTGGCAGGGTATTAACAGAAGCAGCACCCAAAGTGGCTGAAGTGTAGATCAAAGCTATCCCATTGACGTTCAAGCTCAACGTTATCCTGCACCACATCCATCATCAATTCATAAAACGCGTCACAAAATAACAATCCGACGATATCAGCACGTGTCAATCTATACACAATATCTTACAGAATTTGAACAAAATTAGAAACAAATAGATTCGGTTTTACCCGAAGAGGGAGAGGACGAAGATCTTGCAGAAGGTGGGGAGCGAGAGCGCCGGCGCGTGGTTCCTGTTCGCCGCCGGCCAGCCGAGGTTGGAACAATATTAATAAAAAAAAATTTACAATATTATCAATGAAATGAAAAGAGTAGCGAAAATGGTAAATACCATTCGAGGAAAAGGGCGAGAGGGACGACGAGGGCGGCGGCCAAGGCCTGCCGGTAGAAGACGAAGATGGAAGTTTTGAAGCCGCCGTCGAACGCCGCCTTGGAGAGGAGGAACATCCCGGCGTAGATCAGCTGTATCAGCACCACCGCTCCATACGCCTTCTTGCCACCATCGAACTTCGCCGCCGACGGTGAAGCTCCTCCCATAATTAATGGAAGTAGGTTTAATTTGTGTTTTGTTTTGTTTTATTGTTTTGCTTCTATCTTTTTGAGTGTGTGTTGGGAAAAGAAGTAGGGCTGTGAAGTTGTGGATGTGTTGTGTAGTGTTGATGAAGAGTCCACTCATTTATATATGTTGAAGATATATGATTGGAAAAAGAGAGAGAGAGAGATCGAGATATCCTAACTTTGACGATTTGTTTTGGTTTGATGTGACTATTTGATTTCAATCCAAATGACATGTGAAAATTCATTCTCCATTTGTGTTTATAAAGAGTGTAATTCTGTGATGTGAGAAGTTATCTGTAGTAGCGAATCGATAAGATCGAGTTCGTGTCGTTAATGTTTAGACTTTTTGTTTAGCAGTTCTGCCCGCATCAATATGAGGCACTCGGTTTATGTGTGTGATGTGCAAGAGATAGTATTTATGGGTGATAGTTAAGACTTAAGAGGTATTATGATGTTGTTTTGTGTATTTGACACTTATAAAGAGCTTACACGAATGAGAGAGTGCAACAAATGGGATTTTTAAGGTAAACCACCTTACAAGTTATGGCTAAAATATACATGCATATAAACAGGTCGAACCAGAGTTTAGATCGACCCTTGTATCAAATTCCCGACTCCAAATTTGGAATTATGAATAATAGATCAAACTTCATGTTCTTTCTAAATCTGATAAACAGATCGAACGTAACCAAGCGATCTGGATTTGGATGGTTTTAGTCTAGGGACCAATGCGTTGCAACTTGCAACCTTAGAACCTTGATCCTCAGTATATAGTATGCATACACGAATTTATGGTTTACAAAATTGGAAGCTTAGGTAGAAGATAATAGAAGGGATATTGGCCAATGATGGAGAGAAGAGAAAGGTACATATGCGGCCGGATGGGCAGGGTTTCCATATTGGGACGTGTGTCCAAAGGTTATTGGTCCCCTTAGTTGAATTATCGATGAAAGAGCATTTTGAATCACTAAATGGACAGTCTTGTTGTAATCGCAAGAAATAAATGCACAATCAAAAACAGAAAAAAAAAGAAGGATATTGTCGAATTTCCTCCAAAATTACTCAACCGAGAGCATATGAGCCACGTCTCGGTTGTAGAATGTCTTGCTTTCGAGTTATTTGTATAACATCTATCTTTTGAATGCGAGTATTTGACGGTATTATCGTATAGTTCGGGTCAGAAGCGGATCATGACATTGAAGGTTCCCCTCCCCACCTCAACTACGGTCCAACCGTGATTCGGAAAGGAAAAAAAAAAACAATTGCCTTTCAATGTTGATGGAACTATATTTAGAGGCCTTTAATTGATTTTATTGATTTCTTGATTTAGATGAAAATGACCATATATAAAGCGAGACAAAAGCACGTTCATGATGATGATGTGCTGATTAAGTAACGACTCATTATTCAACCACCGTTTGAAATATGTTTCCCTATTGCTTTTTTTCTTCTCTGCTTTCCTTAAAGCCAACCATAATAATGCATCCATTGTGGACTATAATGCATACACAAATATAGAGCATGTTGACATGTTGATGTTCAGGAGTAGTCTCTATAGATGTCAATGAAATTTGGGGCCATGCCAGCAAAAATTTGTGGTTGGTTTGTCAATCTCAATCTTTCGATAATTCGAGTGAGTACTGATACGCATTTGTAAGAGAATCCTATGATGCTTTCATTATCGATATAGTGTACTGATTCTTAACATGATATTTAAGGTATTTAATGGTATGTAATATTATAATTCGTGTTAACATGATATTGCTTAGGAAAAAACAATTCAATCGTTTTCGATAAAGAAAGACGAGTGAGTGGCTTTTGTTTCCAAGTGAGTGATTTTAATATTGGTGGCAAAGTTTCAAACTTTTTTAGGGACCCCTAATCGCTTTCAAAGTGTCACTTCTATCAACTGCACGTTACATATATATATATGTGTGGAAACGCTTCCATTTTCCGACGAAAGGGATGGATCTCTTTTTTTGGCGGCCGGCCGGTCAATTCTCCGGCCATTTATTAGCTAGCTGGTGATGGCCAGTTGGCTTTGGCTTGAGTCGTGGGAGAGTCGAACTTGAAGAGGACGTCGCCTAGAAAGAAATATCTCGTCGGCTCATTAATCACATGTTTGACGTATTTAGGGTTCGTTTGCCTGTGTTGCTAGTTAATTTGACTCGGTTCGAATCGGGTACATCGATAGAGATGATAATACTCTTAATATCAGGCAGAATTACATCTCCATATCTCAAATCTGGCTATCCTCGAATCGAACTGTCGGACATTGATTCCGAAATAAATAAAAAAAATCTTAATGAATATGTATCTATTTGAAAGATAGGTTGTGCATGTAAGGAGATAAAATTGGCCGCTGATCAATTGAAAATATTCGTAGAAATTTTGAACGTACGTGAGATGGGAGGGTAATAAGGAATATGACTCATACGATTTGTCCATGGGATGAGATGGAGATATAAAAAAATTGACCACGAATATGACATTAGCATGACAAATCTTCGCCAATTGACAACTGAAATACAATCTCAATTCATCTCTATGCTGCTCTTATTTTTGTTATTCGAAGTAAATTGATTTACGGGTGATTGGTCCACATCACTCATACAAAATTGAGTTGGTATTAGAATTACAGTCTCGCTCTCGTAATAAACTCTCGACTATCCCTTTAGTATGCATAAATTCATAATATATCCTTTAGGAGGACAATATTAATGTCTTTCTTCAGGCTATGCCTCGATCCCCCAACTCATCCATAGTGGCCTTAAGTAAGTTTACTAGCTTTTACCCGACCCGTTGGTCGGAGGACCCAAATTTCATTTGTAAATTTTGAACTAATGAAGATGGTGGAAGCAATATCTTCTTACGTCTAAAACTTGGAGAAACCAGCCAACTTGACCGGTTGATCGAGCACCGAGCCAAACCTCAACTCTGAACATCGTTTGCAATGGAAGTGGCTCTTCCTCCCCAATTTTAATAATTTCTCATTCTCAAACCCTAGACCCTCGCTAGAGATGGAGCTCTTCTCGCAGGCAGCTACTTGGCTGCAGTGACCAGCTCCTCCGACTGCTACTAATGGCATCGTCACTGTCAATCGCCTCCACCTTGTGGATGTCGTCTCCCGCTACCTGCCAGAGTCGGGAGTGAAAATTTACTTAATGGTATCTTAAATTCACCCTTATTTATTTTTTCCCTGAAATCTCAAATCATTACGTTGCAAACCTATATCTCTAAAAGTGTGTAAATGTTGGCCAACCCACATAGACCAACCAGTAACCCATAACCCATGTGCTTGATCGCATCAACAGTTTGCTCCCGCCATCTGAGTTAACAACCTTGATTAGTATGGATTTAGTTACCGACTAAACTACGATTGATATTAGTATATTACTAACAATGCAAACTCTCAATTTTATAGTTATATGAAAAATTATATTCATTACGGGGGAGAATTACAGTCCAGGAAAGAAATACAAGTGGCATTAATCCACCTAACTATAATTGGCGTGCTACTATAACCAAGACAAACTTTTAACTAAAATATATATCCAGCGAAGTATTCGTCTCAGAAAAATAAAGTTTGCATAGAAAATGGAATTGCCAATTGTATGGTAACCAAGACAAACCCTTAACTAACATTGCAGCAGAGCCATGCATATAGAGTTGATCCATGCATAAATAAAGAAAGTTTATGTTCTAAACTAAGGGAACAACGTAGACATATATAAATTGGCAATCTAACAAAAACAAAGTCATCTAAAGGATCGCAGCTGGTAGTTGGTTTGAGTTTTGCCTAAAATAGAGTAATTTAGTCTGGATGTGGTTTCCAAGTGTTTCTAGCTTGGTAGTTCAACGAATCAGACTAAATGAGGCAAACAGATTCCGTGTTTTTGAAATTGGGTATGAAGAGTGTAAATTGGTAGCAAGTTGCTGTTATTGGGCTATTTTCAGCTGTAACCTTTGTGTAGATCAATGTTTTAGAAACTGTAAAAGCTAATGTCAAAGGAAACACTTGTAGCGAGCAAATAGTATATGAGCAAAGAAATTAAGCAGCAAGGTTCATGGTTTCTCTGATGTACCCAATCCTAACTTACTGCATCATTCACCTAGCTGTTAGTTCTAAGTACTTACTACATCATCAAAACAACCAGATTCGTCATAAAGTGCACGTTTTCCCTCATCCTCAAGGATTGATATCACCTTTGTGTACTATCAAACAAACACGATACAATTCCCTTAACACATGACAAAACATGCAGTATTCCTCAGTTAATCACCTCATCACCTGGGTTTTTGTCTGGATGGAGTCTTAAAGCCAATTTATGGTATGGTTTCTTTATCTCATGCTGAGATGTTGTCTTCTGCACACCAAGAACCTGCAGCCAGTGCAACATCATTTTGTAAAGTTAGCACCCAATCCTAACTTAATATAAGCAATCTACTAAATAGAACAAATGCGAAGTGCTTGAACATCTCATAAAAACAAAGGGCTTGAACTCAACAATTTTATGGAACAGAATCATGAAGGTGGCACAATTGGTGAGAAATAAGCAATAACCGTGTAGAGTACATCCATGATACTGATTGCCTAACATCATAGTTGAGATACGAATAACGTATTACAGGACCTCGTACATTTACATATCAAGTATATCCCCTGTAACTAAACTAACCATTCAGAATATGTTTCCCACGACTTTGAACTGGGTATTAGAAGCCAGTTTCTACTTTCTATGGTTCAGCTTTGGCGAAATGAATGAACTCCAGAGAGCTTCAGTTTCTTGTTCACCATTAAATGCTTCTAAAAGAGCAGCAGCTCCAAAACCCATTTGCATGCGTAACACATGTATTACTATCAAGCTAAATTTGGTTCTCTCCAACAGCCAATTTTCTTGTCAATAATAATCGTCTAGTGGTTAGTACCAAGCGTGAAACTTTCACCATGGCAACAAATTATACATCCTCAGTGACAATACCATGCATGTCACTGTCGTCTGTCTATACTCTAACCCCAACCCTAATTATGCCGAAATGGCAAAAAAGAATAAAATGAATAGTCAGCGAA